GAATTGAAGAATGTATGGAATAATATTAAGAAAGTTTTGGTGGATGCAGCCACCGAAATATGCGGTGTAAGTAAGAGAACGAATGAAAGGAAAAGTAATACGTTGTGGTGGGATGATGAGGTACGGATGGAAGTTGAAGCAAAGAAGAGAGCATGGCTAGATTTACTAGCAACTAAAGCTGGTAATTCTGGCGGTATGAATGATGAGATTGAAAGAAAAAAGGCAGACTTTAGACGTATAAATAAGAGAGTAAAAGAAGTTGTTGAAAGGAAAAAGCAAGAAAGGATAGATAAGAATGATAGAAGGATATCTGATAACTTTCAGGCAAATATTAAAATGTTCTGGAAGCTCGTAAGAACTGCCAGGGGAAATTCAAAACAGCCTAGAATAAATGCTATACGAGACGAGAATGGCTGCATGCTGAATGATGAAGTTTCGAATTTAAAGAGATGGAAGGAATACTTTGAAAGCGTGTTTAAGAGTGAAGAGTCGTCTGGAATAAGTGAAATAGAAATTCCGGAAGAAGTGGAGAGAGGTAGGGAGATAAGTGTAGATGAAATAATGAAAGCAATGAAAAGCATGAAAGCAGGTAAGGCAGCCGGATATGATAGAATATCACTCGAAATGCTAAGGGCTGGTGAGGGTGTGGTTGCAGGCCTGCTGCACACCTTGTTTAATTTATGTTGGGAACTGAAACGGGTACCGGAAGACTGGTGCAAAGCCGTTATAGTCCCAATATATAAGGGAAAGGGGTCGCAGCAGAACTGTAAAAACTACCGTGGTATCAGCTTGCTTAGCATTGTGGGTAAACTGTATGCTAAGGTGTTAATTGAAAGAGTTATGGAAGAAACTGATGGAAAAATTTGGGATGTGCAAGCTGGATTTAGAAAGGGGATGGGGTGTACGGATCAAGTCTTTTCCATGCGCATGATAGCGGAGAAGTTTTTGGCTAAAAACCAGAAAGTTTTTTGTGCGTTCATGGACTTGGAAAAGGCTTATGACAGAGTGGACAGGAATGTGTTATGGCAAACACTGAACTCATTTGGGTTGAGCGCTGGCTTGATACAGGCATTAAGATCTCTTTATAGGGACTCTAGTGCTTGTGTCAGGATCAACGGGGTCTACTCGGACTGGTTTGGCATTCATAAAGGTGTCAGACAGGGATGTGTGGCTTCCCCGTGGCTGTTTAACTTATTTATGGACAGTTGTTTGCAAACTTTGAAAGTTGAAGAATGTGGGTTGAGAATGGGTGAGTCAACCGTCAAATGCCTTTTGTACGCCGATGATCAAGTCATATTTGCATCGTCGGCGGCCGAGTTGCAAATGATGGTTACTTTAATGAATTGGTCATTAAAAGAAAGGGGTATGAAAGTGAACGGAAGTAAGACGAAAGTGATGGTTTTTGAAAGAGAAGAAAGTAAAACTTTATGTGAAATAAGAATAGAAGGGGAGTTGATTGAGCAAGTGGATGAGTTTGTATATTTGGGATGTTTATTTAGCAGGGATGGTAGATATGATAAGGATATAGAACGACGAGTGAACGCAGGAAATAGAGTGAATGGGGCTCTACACGCTATTATGAGGAGTCAGAATGTGTCAACTAAGGCACGTATGGCAATTCATAATGCTGTGTTAGTCCCTACTTTAATGTATGGTAGTGAAAGTTGGGTCTGGCAGAAGAAGCATGAGAGTAGAATAAATGCTGTAGAAATGCGTTCCTTAAGGAGTATGCTAGGGCTGAATCTGAATGACAGGGTGAGAAATAGTGTGATAAGAGAAAAGTGTGGTTTGCAAGATGACGTTGTGACAAGGATTAAGAAAGGAATGCTTCGGTGGTTTGGTCATGTAGAAAGAATGAACGAGGAAAGAGTGACAAAGCAAATTTATGTTGCGGAAGTGAACGGCAGGGTCGGGAAGGGACGCCCTAGACGAAGGTTTATCGACCAAATCGGCGATACATTAAAAATGGGCCAGATTAGGAGTACCCATAACCGACGGGCGTGTATGCGTAGATATATGGATGTAAAAGAGGCGAGAGAGGTGTGTCAGGATCGCGCCAAATGGAAGTCCGTAGTCTCTGCCTACCCCTCTGGGTGACAGGCGTGAGTGTTTATATGTTATACTAATAAGCAGAAATCTCTCAAGACATATCGCAAGGTTGTAAACGAAATAAACGTTTCCTTTGGTCATCTCGGTTATGAGGAATGCGAGTAGTGTGCTCTACATAATTCTCGTAATGAATGGTGTCAAGAAAGTTGTGAACTGTGTATTCAATATGAAAAACCAAGTTGCGCTACACTCAAACTAGAGAAAAATACCAAAACGACAAGGAAGCATTTTCTACCGACAACGATTATATTTACTTTCCTAAAGCTATGATATTTCAAGCACTTCAAGTGGTCCGAAAAGATTAATTTTTTATTTTTAGGGAGTAAAGTGATGTTTTTGTAATATTTTTCTCAACAGTTTCTTTTATAAATCAATATTTTCATATGTAGTAATTTTGTTTCAATCATTTTTCATATAAATTTATAATATTCTTGCAATTAACTACCGTTGCATTGTGTATGATTAAAATATTTTACTAATGAAAACCGCAATAACTAAGACATTTATTGCATTTATGGTTGGAAGAAACTAGAGGACATACAGTTTATGCCCTAATCTAAAGAGCAATTTTTCGGTTTACTAACGATAACTGCAATAAGCTGTCTACTTATTGCGGTTACGATTAGTCACGCTCTATCAAAACAATTAACAGTCCTAAATATAAATACATTATTGTGTTTTTAATGCATAAATAAATGTGTATAAAAAATATAATATACTACATAGAATTCTGCATCATTTTATCTGTCGTATAGTAAAAGTTTCAAGTCACTAGCTGTCATCATAGTTACGAAGATACACAAAACAAAAATAAAATCTTTAGCTGCGATTATCTCGAAAGTAGCCAAAACCTAGTTATTGCACTCTTCGTAAGAACGGCAGAGTAGATTAAGGTGCATTTATAACTTATGTATGATTCATCAACCGCAATCGACTACACCTTGTATTAGCCGGCTACACTTCGGCTTTTAGCTGTAACATGTACACTATACAGCACAAGTGCAGTTAGTGTTGTTAAGCGTTATATATATATGACAATCTGATTAGTGTAGTGTGCGCGTAGCATATTAAGTAACCGTTTACTTAATTTGTCCCACAAACAGGGCACATCTCTTGTTTCTGGGAGGGTTATGGAGCCAGAAAGAGTACCGCAGCGCTACTCCACTACGAATTGGAGAACTACACATCCGCGTGATATTTATTATATTATAGACCCGAAAGTTTCTTTATAGTGTTTTTCAAGCACATAGCTAATTAATAAAAAAAACATAACGGTCGGCTGGGGCTCAAACTCAGGTTTGCTCGCATTCTCGAAATACATTTTTTTTTTTGGAGTTTATGGCCTGGTATCTAGTATCCACCTGGTATCTACCTTTAGGCCAAGTCTTAAGTATTTTTATTCGGTTTATTATAATTTCCCCAAATGTATAATTATCCTTCATAGTTCACTGCTTCACAATATGTTGATGCGTCACATTGTGCAGCCCTTGGGCGATTTTGACGGCAACTTGAGCCAGCAGACAGCTGACAGTTGGCGATGTTATCTAAAGGCGCATATGTAGACAAACAGCTTATCTTGAGAATCCATCACCATCAGAGCACTTGTTTCACCGTTTCCACTAATAGTTCACATGCGTAGACAGTTAATACACAAAATCGCACCACTTTTACATATCAAAGTCCACTTCAAACCATTATTTAAACAATAACACAGGAGCAGCAAACCGACGCCGGTCAAGTTCCCGCCAAAACTCCCCGAAATACATTTTTTTCTTTGGAGTTTATGGCCTGGTATCTAGACCTTTAGGCCAAGTCTTAAGTATTTTTATTCGGTTTATTATAATTTCCCCAAATGTATAATTATCCTTCATAGTTCACTGCTTCACAATATGTTGATGCGTCACATTGTGCAGCCATTGGGAGATTTTGACGGCAACTTGAGCCAGCAGACAGCTGACAGTTAGCGATGGTATCTAAAGGCGCATATGTAGACAAACAGCTCATCTTGAGAATCCATCACCATCAGAGCACTTGTTTCACCGTTTCCACTAATAGTTCACATGCGTAGACAGTTAATACACAAAATCGCACCACTTTTACATATCAAAGTCCACTTCAAACCATTATTTAAACAATAACACAGGAGCAGCAAACCGACGCCGGTCAAGTTCCCGCCAAAACTCGAAATACATATTATGTAGTGAGCACCATGAAGCAAATACAAAGAGGAGAAGGCATAAGCAACTGTGCACTGTGATTCTAAGTAGGTCCTGACGTCATCATAGTGGGCGTGGCTTTAGTTAGTATACTGTCAGCATTCGTCCTGTGTTTATGTGTTGAAAATCGCAAATCGGTGTATTTAAATATATTCGACACTAGATGGCGATTGTGTCATGTGAACTAAAAATATAATATAAGGTACGTAGAGCTCAGTATTGGTAAAATAATCGTACGGACGTGCTGAAATTTGTTTTGCATGCATCCTGAAGAATTTTTAATCGCCAAAATATTATTTTTATAGTTTTTATAATCATTTTCGAACAGGTCACCATCTATCGTCAAGGTAGTTAAACTACATTGCAACAACGATATGGAACGATTCGAATAGTTTTACTATTTATCGGTAGATGTAGATAGTGTAAAGTGGGCGGGGCTTAACATCCCCTCACCCCGCAAATTGTCACGCGTTGTTAAATAGTGAAATCCAATTACAACACCTCCTCTTTGTATTTGCTTCATGATGAGCACCAAGCCCACACGCTACTAAAACTCTACTGCAATATAATTTATTTAACTTAGAATCACTAAAACAATTCTCACAAACATCCATGAAAAGAAGTAATGTGATGGATACTCACTAATTTTAGTTTAAAAAAAAGTTGCATACTTACTAAAGGCTGTTTCCCTTTAACTCGTGCTAAATAGCCATGGTCTTTTTGAATATGTTGTATCCACTGCCCTCCGTCGACTTCTTGATCACAAACTCCACATTCAACCATCCCTGTGTGGATAAATTCGTTTTCACCTTCATTGAAAAAATCTTCACATATAATCGAATCATTTACATTAGCCTGCAAAAAAAAATTTGGTCTTTCACCATAACAAGAAAATTAATTTGTCAGGTTTTAAGTTTTTGGCTACGACTTTAGAGTGGGTCTGCTTATACAAAAGTGGACAGAGAAGCCTTGACGATTAATCGATAACAGGTTGTCACCAACCACATTCACTTAAAAACTTAATATGTTCAAGTAGTCGAAACCCCTATTCGAGAAAACCAAGGAATTATACATAGAACTTGAGCGAGAATTGAATATAAGATCAGCAGCAATGCCCATCATAATACCGAAATTCGACACCAGCAGAAAAAAGACGTTTACTTTGTACTGTAAGTTGTGTAAACGAAAATAAACATTATTTAATTAAAATAAAACTATTTACGTCTGAGCATCGAGATACATGTACTACGCACTAGATTTCGCATTCCGAACATTCACTTTGTTCAACTGAACTGTACTGCAATCCACACACTTTAGTGTCATTTAGTGTGGCTTCTATATTCATGCGCTGTTGAGCGGCGCTAATAATACGAGATTTCAAATTAAAGTTGAAACCTGGACGTAAATAACAATTCAGTAGTCAAGTAAGTAAAATTATTTGTTGCTCAAGTGAATAAATAGGTATATTGTAATATTACAATAGAAAAAAAATAAATTCCTCATTTAAATGCCACACTATCTACAATCATAGACTAAAACATGGAGATGTTCCTCTACATATGTGTATGTACTTGTATAAAATATCATTTCTTATTTTATTTTTATTTGTTGAGCTGGAATAAACGCATAACAATTCATTTTCTTTTATTTTCCTACAATGTTTCCTTAGAAGTAATTCATAAGGCACAAAACCCGCTCCGACTAACGAACGACGAACGAAACCTTATTATTATGTCACAATTACATTTTAATAATATTTTATTTGAATATTATAAAAAATACGATTTAAGAACTATGTAAAATATAAAAACATACATTTGATATCAAAGATAATTATTATTACATTTTATTTACAAATATGTTTGCTTAGATTAAAATAAGAGTATTTTATATTAAATTAGCACATGTGCAAAATAAATGACAATTTAAAAAAAGTTGTACTCGATATAATTAACCATATAATCTAAATAAACAATTCTTACATACTGATCATTCTACCTACGTACCTAATCTATGATACCAAAAACTGACCGCGTAGGCGCAACGCGCTTATATCAACGGCGCATGCGCGACGCTACTATCTCCCGCTTCTTCTTAATAACTGGCTTTTCGGCTCTGGGATCTAGCCCTTCTGAGCCTGAAGTTACAATATTATATTATAATAATTATTCTTCATAGTATACTGCTTCACAATATGTTGATGCGTCACATTGTGCAGCCCTTGGGAGATTTTGACGGTAACTTGAGCCAGCAGACAGCTGACGGTTGGCGATGGTATCTCAAGGCGCCTAAGCAGACAGGCACCTTATTTTGAGAATCACATCACTATCAGAGCACTTGTTTCACAGTTTCCACTAATAGTTCAGATGCGCAGACACTTAATACACAAAATCGCACCACTTTTACATATCAAAGTCCACTTCAAACCATTATTTAAACAATAAAACAGGAGCAGCAAACCGACGCCGGTCAAGTTCCCGCCAAAACTCCCTATCTCCCGCGCATGCGCGAAGACATAGAGTAGGTCACATTTTTTGTTTGGAATAGCTTCTCTAGTACGTAGTACATATAACTCAATGCGTCTAAGTCATATTAACGGTCCAATATCACGATAAAATACCAAATTGAACTACTAACCACACTGCCATTACAGTTCTTTACATGTTTCATATACCACTTGACATTTTTACGAGTGAGCCCGCATTTAGCGCAAATTAGCTCTTCAACACATTTTCTTAAAATACTTAGATGTTTTTGGATTTCGTCATCATCATTTATATCCTGTAAAGGATTATGAAATGTATGAGTAAGCTGGAAAGTAAATTGCATATTATGTTGTTTCCATTATCATTATAAACCTATCACAGCTCAATGCTGAACATAGATGCAGAACTTCCCACGAAGAGTTGCTTCTCTTCACCACTAGTCGAAACATTTTGACATTGGACAATTTTTAAGGTGGCTAATTTTGCATTTCAACGTCGCCAAATGACTTGTATGGCAAAAAAAAATATTATTTTTATAATCATCATCATAACAGCCCTTCACAAGTTTTTTTTTTAAAAAGAAATAAAAAAAGTCCACTGCTGAACATAGGCCTCCCCTAAGGAATACCACAAAGCACGGTCCTGAGCCACGATGTACTTGCTGCATGTCTTACCAGAACGTCACGTCACCTCCCGGTACGAGGCTGCCACTCCAGAACCTTTCTTCCCCATCGCTTGTCGGTTCTTCGAGCTATATGGCCGGGCCATTGCCAGTTCAGCTTACTAATCTGTCGGGCTATTTCGGATGCTCTATTTCAACTGCGGATATACTCATTTTTAAGTCTATCACGCAGGAAAACCCCGAGCATAGCGCTCTCCATAGCTTGCTGATCTACCTTGAGCTTTCTCATACGGCCGGCAGTGAAGAACCACGTGTCAATTCCATAGGTCATCACTGGCAACACGCACTGGTTAGACAATCTCAGCAAAACTAAGTAGGTACTAAATAAAAATCTGCGGTTGCCAACCTGCTTTCAAGGCGTGACAACTATGGCAAACATTCCCTCGTGAGCAAGGACATTCTTTTGTTTAGTCTAATTATATATATTATATACACGTATGGTATATATAATTAGCACAACCAGGGTTTTAACTTAAACCCAGCTCAACTTTTTATGTAGAATTTCCCATGCTGTCCTGGGTATTTTATAATACCGCCATCTACCGGAAGCCATAAGAACTTCTTAGAATTTCTTATAGACGTTTTCTAGGATACAATTTACTTTAAAAAGTGTAGGTATATAAACCGCTACATTTATTACTTAGTGATTACTAATTATAACATCTGAAGAGAGATCTGAAGATGCCGAATTGTTTTTTATTGCTAACAAGTATTTTTAAATTTAGCATGTTAGAGCTTTAGAGCTTTTGTGTAAAAAAACGTTTTAATCACGAATCTTGGCCACTCCATTAAACAGCAACTTCATAATTTAACCCCTATTAGTAAAATAATTATAATTACCGAATAGATACCCACGTCCACGATATTAAATTATTTGCAACATCGCAAAAATCATGACATGACGTGACACTATTTACAGAATATCACTTTGAAGAATACGTCATAGTGCATGTATATTAAATGTATTATTGTTATATTGTAAATTTTTGTATACCAAATACCAATTGTAGTTAGTGCTGTTGTTAAGCGTTATATTTATATGATAATCTCATTGGTATCGTGTGCGCATAGCATATTAAGTAACCGCTTGCTTAATTTGTCCCACAAACAGGGGACATCTCTTTTTTCTGAGAGGGTTAAGGAGCCAGAAATAGTACCGCAGCGTTATTCCAGAACGAATTGGAGAACTTCACTTGTCCTTGTGATTTATTCATTTTCATACATGAAAGTTTCTTTACGGTGTTTTCCAAGCACTATGTGCTTATTACTAACAAAATTCCAACGGTTTGGTGGGGACCGAACTCGGGTTTGCTCGCATGCATATATAGTGAGCGTCAAGTCCACACGCTACTAAAGCTCTACTGCAATATAGTTTATTTAACTAACATTCACTAAGACAATTCTTACAAACATCCACGAAAAAATGTAATGTGATGGATACTCACTAATTTTAGTTTAAAAAAAGTTGCATACTTACTAAAGGCTGTTTCCCTTTAACTCGTGCTAAATAGCCATGATTTTTTTGAATGTGTTGTATCCACTGCCCTCCGTCGACTTCTTGATCACAAACTCCACATTCAACCATCCCTGTGTGGATAAATTCGTTTTCACCTTCATTAAAAGAATCTTCACATATAACCGATTCATTTACATTAGCCTGCAAAAAATATATATTTGGTCTATCACGATAACAAGAAAATTGAACAGTTAGCTTTTAAACTTTTTGTTACGCCTCTAGTTTAGGGCGAGTCTATTTGTTCATGAGCAACATTTTAAACTGGCTTGGTGAATAAAGTAGAATTAAAGAATATGTAAAAGCCTGCAATTGCGAAACCAGTAGAAGCATTAAAGATTAAGCGAAAACTAAAAAAACTCAAAATGTTCAAGCAGTCGAAAATGTTATTCGATATAACCAAAGTATTATACACAGAGCTTGAGCGAGAACTTATGTTTCGATCAGGGATTAGGTCCTTAGGAAAGACAAAGCATCTGTAGCCCTTTTTGTACAAAATTGGCTAAATTATACATGGTAGAGCCATGCTGCAGCTATACTATTAGTATAGTTGTATAACAAATGGGTCAGCTCGACCAGTGAAGGACGCTCTCACAGAATATGAGCGTAAAATAGCAACTTAACGCTGCTTTGTTTCGTATGGTGAGTGTAGACAACTTGAGACACTTTTTATTAAAATGAGGCATTCCATCTTAGTCCTCACAGCTGACAACGCATCTGTATTTTATAACATCAAGTGTACTGTGTGCTCGCTTGTCATCCTTTTCATTAAAAAAGGGTATTCATGAACTGTACTAAACAGCTGTAATCACTTACCATTAGGTGAACTGTAAGTATGTTTGATACTTCACTTTTATAACAAAAATGTACTTGACTTGTCTTGTATTGCACATTAATTACGAATACTTAAAACGTCTTGAAAAATCTGTCTCCATTAAAGTTCTAACAAAGTAACATGATTATCATAACATAAATATAACCATCTATCATATAAATATAGCCATCTATAATATATACGTGGTAGAGCCGTGCTGCAGCTATTATTAGTATAGTTGTAGCACGAATGGGTCGGCTAGACCAGGGAAGGACCACGCTCTCGCAGAAAACCAGCGTAAAATAACAGCTTAATGCTGCTATGTTTCGTATGCTGAGTGTAGAGAACTGGAGACCCTTTTTACTGGAAACGAGGCATTCCATCTTGGTCCTAACGGGTGACGACGCATCTGCAATTTGATTCATAATCGAGGATAGATGTAGAGGTCTATGGGCCACAGCAACCTTTTACTATCAGGTGGAGTGCTCGCTTGTCATCCTTATCTTATTAAAAAAAAACATTTTCAAATGTGCTTACCACAGTTCCATCGCACTTCTTAATATGTTGCAAATACGCCTTGACATATTTACGAACCAACCCACATTTGGCACAAACCAAGCCATCAACATGTTTTGACACGCAATTTAGATATTGCCTTACTTGTTCTTCATTATCCACATCCTGCAATTTATAACACATCTAATTAATTGATAAACGTAGCTGTTGAAATTTTTTTTTTACGTATTGCTACTAGCCCTATGATTTTTAAAGCTTCACCTATATAGGTTTCCTTGCAGCGTCCGCCTATAAATTGTTAGCAGTGAAAAACTTGTAAGATAATAATATATTGTTAGGAGTTAAAGAATGAAATTATCATTTTATTTTGAGAAGTAAACATCTTTTTTCTTAAAAAATATATTAATTTAATCGAAAGTGACAACAAAACAGTTGGCATTAGTTTTCTATGGCTGAGCTTCATTTTAGGGCTTGGTTTCGTATAAGACTGTCGGTATAATTCTGTTCAAAAACCTTCATTTCAGTACCTGTCCTTAGTTATCAATCAAGCCGAGTTCCTTTATGCACATCAGCAAATTCATGAGGAACCCATTTCTCAAACATTTTATGGTACCAATTTCTAACCATGACGCTAATTCCTTGCTAGTTGCTTAGTTTTACGCGGTAGAGCCATGGTGCAGCTATAGTGTATAGAACCGGAGACTTTTTACTGGAAAAGAGGCAATCCATCTTAGTCCTCACGGCTGACAACGTATCTGCATTTTGATTCGAAAACGATGATAGATGTAGATGTCTATGGGCCACAGCAACCACTTACCATCAGGTGGACTGTGTGCTCACTTGTCACCAGGGACTGTAATACCGATATTTTGCAAGTATCGATATTTGATTTCAGTACAATAATATCGATACTTGGAATCACAATATCGGTATTGATACTGCTACCAATATATCGATACAATAAAAATAAATTCCTCGTTCTCGCGTCTTATTTACTCTCTCTAACATCAACGGTCATAGGTAAGGTACGCGCTCATACGTAATGTTCGCGTGTTTTCAAATTGTTCAACGCGTATTTCGATGAAATATGGCATCTATACAAAGCAAGCGTATATTTATTTTTAGCCATATACTAGCTGTACCCCGCGACTTCGCCCGCGTGTAGTTTAGGGTTTTAATTATGTTGCGCGGAACCCTAATTATTTTTGTAAAATATAGGTAGATTAAGTTACTCCCTACAACATCAGTTTTCTGCCAGTGAAAGTCCCGTCGAAATCAGTCCAGCTGTTTCGAAGATTAGCCTGAACAAACAGACATACAAAATTTTTAAAAATGTCGGTTTTGTTATAAGTACCGTATATACTTTCCTATGCATTACGTAAAATTTTGATATTATAAGCAGACGCTTTAATTTTATTTATTTGTATAGATTAAATCTTTGATGTGGTTCATGTTCAAGCAAATGATTATTCTTCAAGTAAGATGTCTGGTTTGTATCTTTAATTTATCTTTAACTTGCTTTTCGCCTGTAGCTTCGTCCGCGTTAATTACGGTTACATCGCGTAACTTTTATCATCTCAAAGAACCATTTTTTTTTCAGGTTAAAAAGTAAGCCATGTCTTTCTCTGTATCCCTGAATATACTGCAGGCGGATGAAACTGCCCTACTAATTTACAAGAATAAAAAATGCATTGAAAGTTCTTCCCTCTAGTGAACAAGGTACATAAACTTGTATAGATGGCGTTAATTTAGCCAAAACCTCAGAATCCAAAGCCAAAAAAACCTAAATTTATGGCAGTTTTGGTCTATGGTTATGGTTAACACACTCGGTTGACAGTTCTTCTTTCTAATAAATTGATACGATAATTCAGAAAACGAAAATATTTTGCAACTATTCGTTTCTCTCGTGTGAATATTATAATTTAGGCTTTATGATTATTTACTAATTTTAACAATAAATGTGGTTGTTCACAGTTTATGCACCAATGTTAACAGGCTGCTAAATGGAAACTTATTAACTACTGATTTGTGATTGTGAAAATGATAATGTCAACACTCAAGCTATTAAATATTATAACATTCATAAAAGAAAATAAATACATAATTAAAATTCTGTTCAGTTAATCTATACAAATAAATAAAATTGAAATGTCTGTTTGTAATGTCAAAATTACAGTTTTTTACTAAATGCATATGAAAGTAAATACGATACCTATAACTAAAATACAATTTTTAAAATTTTTGTCTGTCTGTCTGTCTGTCTGTTTGTTCCGGGTAATCTCCGAAACGGCTGGACCGATTTTGACGGGACTTTCACTGGCAGATAGCTGATGTCATAAGGCGTAACTTAGGGTACTTTTATTTTAGAAAAATAATTAGGTTTCCGGACAAAAAAATAAAAACCCTAACCACGCGAGCGAAGTCGCGGGGAACAGCTAGTTCTAAAATAATTTCGATCACCCATATACATAAATTGTCTGGTCACGTGGCCAATTACGACATAATCCTCAATAAATCAATTAGGATCTTTAAATAACATCGAATGTCATAAATAATCATTGTAAGAAAATTTTGTCGCGATAAATTCATGCTGACGTGACACAGACACTTCTCAATTTGCCGCCAAATCGTAAACAAATGACAAATTAATAAAATACATACACAATAATATTGGCAAAGAGTTCCATTTTCAAAATTTGAACTTATTTTTTTATTATATCGTTTACACGTGGCCAGTTCCAAAATCTTTCAGTGTCGCACTCGTAAAAATACTAAAATAATTCTTATTTTTGTTACATTTTTTTTCTTATTTTTTTTAATTATATGATTAGCAAAACTATCTGTTAATAAATAATAGAAATTTTCTGAAAATTATTTGCCTTCTTTTGTTAATTATTTTTGTTATCTATTTTATTATTATAAAAATAATAACTTCGATTAAATTGCTTTTTAAATTAAAACGGTACTTCGAAACTACGAATTTCAAAGAAGAAAATAGCCGCCTTACGCTGATTTGAGTAGCTGGACAAGCTAAAAGAATACATTCCAATTTGTAGAGACGACGATAAGTGGTATTTTTTCGACCACCAGTGATTTAATATGTTTTCTGTAGACTTAAGAAGAGGTTCCTTAAGAAATATTATATCAAACTTATAAGGTTCTGTTTATCACTTTGAGCCTCCACATATTTTGTGCTAAGAAAATCTTCTAACTCAGCTCGAGCACTATCTGGTCTTGTTTGTGAATCAGACGAACAAGGAGGCAATTTTTTTAAACCTTAATTTATTTTTCATACTAATAGTTAATGGGGCTTGAAATCCCCACCAGTGCCTGTGGGGATTTCCGAAATAACCGTTGTTCGACTGTGTATTTCTTAAATAAAATATTTTTGAATACTTTTTCAACAATAATAAACCAAACGTTGCATGGTACGTTTGGTTTTTAACTTTAATTACTTAAAATTTTACATTTTAAAATTTCAAATATTCCAAACATTAATTTTAGGTACTACAATGTTTTTATAAAAAATAGACATTTCTTAAAAGTATTTCATACACACAATATGGGCGAACAATTATGCCAAAGAGTCAGTGAACCAGTCAGTGAGTATCATGCGATAATTTTATAGTATAGTGCAATAAATTTTTCTGAAGATTAGTGTATTTTCAATATAAACCTACAAGAAATATTACTAAGTAAGGCCAGTAGATAGGTATCAAAATTTTTAAATAATCTTATTAAAAAAACAACAACTAGATAAGCACTGATGCATTTTTTAAATTTTTTAACGTTACCCCTACAATACACTACGTTCTCCTGTATCGCAGAGGCAGTTTACAACCACAAATTGCACAAGGACAAACATCAAGGCCCGGAACAATATATGTAAGGCGCCACCTACTGTAAGAACGTAGTATTTTTTCAACATCAATAAACTATTTTATGGAAATACACACAGCGTACAACGATAAATGTATCTCAAATTTTTTATTCGGTATATTAGTTGCATTATATTAGAGTTATGTATTCTCATATAATATTATCTAATTATGAAATTTTATAATTAATTATATATTAAAAATGAAGCATTGAAAATTGTGAGTTTAAAAGATATCTACTCACTATAGGTAAATAGATAGATAGCTCGCCTTTTGTACAAATATTTGGTGCAATAAAGAATAAATAAATAAATAGGATGTTTCGCAGAGTGAGAGTAATATAGAATGAGTCGTGGAGGCAGTTTACAAACATAAATTGCACAAGGACAAACATCCAGACCCGGAACAATTATTTGTAGGCCATACAAATACTTGTTCCGTGCAGGATTCAAACCCGCGGCCCCCAGCGCAGCAACTCATTGCTAAACCACTGCGCCACGGAGCCGTCAAAATAAAAATTTACAACTCCGTCTTTGGTTTTCGTTTGTGCATCGACCACTCGCTCACTTGACGCAGCGTTGCCGCTACGCGTGACACGTGGCGCGAAATCTGGCAACGTCGCGCAGCCATCACAAGTATCGATACCCGATATCGATAAAGGTTCCAGTATTTTTATACCGGTATAACACATATCAGTACCAAATACTGATAATTAATTGAGTTATCAATACTAATATCGATATTAATAGAAAAGTATCGGTATTTTCAAAATTTCGATATCAGTGCCTGCTTGTCACCCATATCATATAAAAAAAAAGTTTAATAAGGATCAGCTTCCAACAGGATTTTTAATTCTTCGTTATGAATCCTTAGTGTCTGGTCTTCCTCGTGGTTCATTTTTTAGTCGAAGTTTCTACCACGAAAGCAATTAACTCAATAAAGCACAGTGCGTTCATTAGTTGTATCCTCTCTCAAAGTAGCATTGATATTGCGAGCTGTCTTACTGCGTTAGAATAATTTCGGAGCTTATATTGGAAAATAATTCAAATTTTTGAGGTTCTCATGTCAGGTCCCCCACACAAATACTAAATTTAAAAACAATTGAAAGTCAAACAACAGAACGTCATATAATTAGTGAATTTTGGTTTATTTGTGTCAATTAAGTTTTAATCGATAATTGTGGACCATGCAGGTTTAATTTTTTTTTAATAAATACTATTAATGCTGTTAACATTACTAATATTCCCTTTAACCACTCCGTGGTAAGCTAAAATGCTTGTGTTAGAAGTGGTTCACGACAGTAATCGAATGGCAGATTCGAACCCACGACCTTTCTTCGAGCTCGCAGTCCGCCATTAGGCTACTGACGCATTTGAAATTAAAGTGGCCACTCCATTGAAACGGCAAATCAATACTTTCAACCTATTCATAAAATAATTATACTTAACATCAATATCCACGATAATACATAAAATTCTTAAAACCGCGAAAATCATTTTGAGATTCTCACCCATAAACCATAAAGGAAGCAAGTCAAAAAACATTAAATAATAGCAATTGATATGAAAATAAATATTTATCAAATGTATTATTGTTCAATTTTAATTTTTTGTACATGTTACGGCTAAAAGCCGAAGTGTGGTTACAACTAGTTTCTTAGCTAGAACTGGGTGCGGTCAGCAGTAGTTGGTTAAATTTAGGTGTTCTGTTAAAGCTGTAAAAATACGGAAAAACGTATCAAGTAATATCAGCGACAGTAGGTTAAGGTGCATTTATAACTTATGTATGATACATCAACCGCAATCGACTACACCTTGTATTAGCCGGCTACACTTCGTATTTTAGCCGTAACATGTACACTATACAGCACAAGTGCAGTTAGTGTTGTTAAGCGTTATATATATATGACAATCTGATTAGTGTAGTGTGCGCGTAGCATATTAAGTAACCGTTTACTTAATTTGTCCCACAAACAGGGCACATCTCTTGTTTCTGGGAGGGTTATGGAGCCAGAAAGAGTACCGCAGCGCTGCTTCACTACGAATTGGAGAACTACACATCCTCGTGATATTTATTATATTGTAGACCCGAAAGTTTCTTTACGGTGTTTTTCAAGCACATAGCTAATTAATAGAAAAAAATATAACGGTCGGCTGGGGATCGAACTCAGGTTTGCTCGCATACTTGAAATACATATTATGTAGTGAACACCAAGTCCACACGCTACTAAAGCTCTACTGCAATATAATTTATTTAACTAACAATCACTAAGACAATTCTCACAAACATCCATGAAAAGAAGTAATGTGATGGATACTCGCTAATTTTAGTTTAAAAAAAAGTTGCATACTTACTAAAGGCTGTTTCCCTTTAACTCGTGCTAAATAGCCATGATCTTTTTGAATGTGTTGTATCCACTGCCCTCCGTCGACTTCTTGATCACAAACTCCACATTCAACCATCCCTGCGTGGATAAATTCGTTTTCACCTTCATTGAAAAAATCTTCACATATAACCGAATCATTTACAGCCTGCAAATAAAATATTTGGTGTTTAACCATAACAAGAAAATTCAATTGTCAGGTTTTAAGTTTTTGGCTACGACTTTAGAGTGGGTCTGCTTATTCATGAGCAACAGTTTTAATTAAACTACAAAAGTGGACAGAGACGCCTTGACGATTAATCGATAACAGGTTGTCACCAACCACATTCACTTAAAAACTTAATATGTTCAAGTAGTCGAAAACGGTATTCGAGAAAACCAAGGAATTATACACAGAGCTTGAGCGAGAATTGAATATAAGATCAGCAGCATTGTCCACCTTGATACCGAAATTCTACACCAGCAGAGAAAAAACGTTTACTTTGTACTGACTGACGATACGATAAAAAACGCATAATTATAACACCGAAACAAATCAACAGTTGGTGATCATACTTAGATAAGCCAACTTCACACAGAAACAATGTTCGCCTCGTCTTTTATAAAACCAGTCACCAGAAGTATTGCCACTGTGGTGCTAGAGGATTGAAGATGTTTTAACTCTGATTGATATCATAGTTTGTGCCCTTAAAGTACTATCAGCTTGATGTCTCAACTACAAAGTCAGAAATACGGTACCTTCCCTGGCATCACGACATCGACGCGCCTGACAAGTCTATTGTCTCAGTTAACACTTTCACTGTCCGATTTTTAGACACAATATTAAGACAATAGTAATGAACTATATGCAGTACACAGGACAGTGAATGAGTCAAAATTATAGTAAAGTAATATGAAAATCATTCAATAAATAACCGGTGACGTAGCTAGGTGTGGGGGAAGTGGGCACTTAAAGGGGCAAAGGGGCCTCGCGAGGCCCCTTTAAGCCTTAAGTTTTAATGCTCCCATACTTTACTACAGATGACTAACTAATTTAATCACTTTTACGATTTATACAAATTTAAAAACGTGTTTGTTTGGGACCTCGCAAGAAGCCCCTCTTAAGGGGCTACTCCATGCGAACGACCTTGAGCATTTGGTGTGCCACGCCGACTCGCTACAATATAATATCACGTAAGAAATATGTAAGGCGCCACCTACTGTAAGAACGTAGTATTTTTTCAACATCAATAAACTATTTTATGGAAATACACACAGCGTACAACGATAAATGTATCTCAAATTTTTTATTCGGTATATTAGTTGCATTATATTAGAGTTATGTATTCTCATATAATATTATCTAATTATGAAATTTTATAATTAATTATATATTAAAAATGAAGCATTGAAAATTGTGAGTTTAAAAGATATCTACTCACTATAGGTAAATAGATAGATAGCTCGCCTTTTGTACAAATATTTGGTGCAATAAAGAATAAATAAATAAATAGGATGTTTCGCAGAGTGAGAGTAATATAGAATGAGTCGTGGAGGCAGTTTACAAACATAAATTGCACAAGGACAAACATCCAGACCCGGAACAATTATTTGTAGGCCATACAAATACTTGTTCCGTGCGGGATTCGAACCCGCGGCCCCCAGTGCAGCAACTGATTGCTAAGCCAGTGCGCCACGGAGCCGTCGCCGGTTTATAGCTAAAGTGACCATACGTCCCGTTTTGAACGGGACTGTCCCTTTTCTCAGTCACCTGTCCCATTGTCTCCAAACAAAGCCCCGGGACACAAAATTGTCCCGTAACTCGTTGGATGGAAGTATTCAAAGTCAACAATCTTCAACATAATTTTTTTTAATCGAATATATTTTATGTCTCCCTGGTACAAATGCTCCAGTAGAAAGAATATTTTTTTTATTTTGAACAAATTGTGGACGTCTGAAAGAAACACTTACGGTTCCAGTTCTAAAGGCGATGTTGTTAACAAAGGTAACAATAAAAAAACTTAAACAGAATTTTATTCTTATTTAAAATTATCACCAACTTTATTAAAGCAAATTTAATCCACTGACAAATGTAATTAATAATTAAAAAAAATATGTTGCATTTAATAATTACCGTCTATACCGAATATAATTTTATATTGAACACTAATTGTGTAAAGTTATAGTTTTAGAGTGTAAATAAACCCATGTCCTGTTTTGAGTTAAAAAATAAATGGTCACTTTAGTTTTTTTTAGTTAAATTTAGTTTAAAAAAAATTTAGTTTATAGTAAAAAGTAGGTATATTAATACCTACTTAGATACTTTTTACCGAATTAAGGTAGAAGCCCCTAATACCAGTCATGCCCCTAATTGCAGTCTTTTCGCCTTTTTACTCCATAAATAAGATTTCTAGTAGTCTTAACTACAAATATTTTCATCTAAAAAATTCTTTGTACCTAGAGGAAACTATATTTATTCAAATATTACCTCGCAGTTTTAAACCTAACAGTGTTAAAATCAAAACAGGTACGCAATGAAAAACGATCATTTTCCTAATTATTTGACAAGTTATGATCCCGGTAAAATTATGCTTACTTTACATTATCTCATATATAGGCTTTTTGATTTGTATGAATATGACTATAGACATAGTAATGCAGTTATTTTTGTTTGAATTTACAACTTATTTATTTTCTTTTAGTGGAAATTAATGGGACTGTAATTAGATAATATAAGAAATGTATGGAGTGCATAATGTCAGCCGCCCGGCTGTTATTTGGTTTGACGTACCTAATAAGATGTACCTAATTTCAGCCACGTAATATAAATCAGAGCTGCCATAAACTGGAATAAATACCATTAATTAGATCATAACTTATTTTATAAGGGAGTTATGATCAATTCGTCTGTTTTAAAATTGGTTTTAGATTTTAAAGTTTAGCAAAAGATGTACTAGCTTTTCTCTCTGACATTCGGCGTATAGAACATCTTATGTACTCAATTTTTTTTTTGAAAAAGAAGAAAAAACAAGCAATAAATAAAAACAAAAACGGGCCAAAAACTCATAACTGACTTTTTGACAAGACCCGGGATTCGAAACCGAGACCTCATGATCAGCACTCGCACTACTACAACCACTAGACCAACGAGGCGGTACTATACCTAATAAGATATTGTGGTTGGGTAATAATATTGAATTAGCCTTTTATAGTGTAAATTATAATATTTGTCGAAATTTTAATTATGGATTCGAACCTTACATGCTAATGGTGCTTCATTTTTTTATTTGCATTTACTTCAAAGAAAATACACGCAAAAAGCTTCATCGCGCAGTAAAAAACACAACAAATATATGTATAACTAATACGAAAAATTATACCCAAAACAAACAAATAATACTACCTATAAATAACCTAATAAGTAATATTATTATCGACTAATATGACGTGAGTGTATGTGCTGGTCGACGCTCTAACGACACGGGCTTCGCGTCGAAGAGCTCAGGGCTCACTGACTTCAGTAAGCCCGTGAGCAGTGAATATGCCCAGATTTTAAAATAAATTCTTAATAAAATCAAATTTTGGTCTTTTGAAAAAAAATTTACTATAGAAATGTTCATTAATAAATTGCCTATCCATTGGTGTAAATCGCAAAATAAAATAATACTTACTTTACGAGGAGATGCATGTTATCAATAATAATTTCACATTTATGTGGTTTCGTTGTAAGGAGATTATATTAATATTTATTCCTTTAAAAAAAATTGGATATAGCTTTTATGGAATCAAGATTATATAGAAATATAATGTGTTTTTTATTTGTTGATATATCTTTTAAATAAAAAGTAGATAGCTCCTAAAAACAGCACAAATAACGACTAGCGCGACATTTTGCTCAACCTGCGCCTTAAGTGCGACTGCGAGGCTGTTGTAACTACCCTCAAATACCGCGAACGTTAGATTGCCGGAATACGAGACTTGTCAGGAATTAATAGCAATGTCGTATCAAAGCATGTTTGGAGGATAGATCTATTGGGTAGATCTTGCGAACTAAAACAAAAGGGACCTCGCTGATGCGACTTCGCCCACGTCTATATTAGTTATAACACTACGCCTCTGTAAATAAAACCAATTATCATTTTCAAAAAATAAAAGTGCTTACCACAGTTCCATCGCACTTCTTAACATGTTGCAAATACGCCTTGACATATTTACGAACCAACCCACATTTGGCACAAACCAAGCCATCAACATGTTTTGACACGCAATTTAGATATTGTCTTACTTGTTCTTCATTATCCACATCCTGCAATTTATAAAACATCTAATTAATTGCGAAACGTAGCTGTTTAAATGTTTTTAAGTATTGCTACAGGTTTGCTTGCAGTGTGCGCCTAAACATTTTTGTATGGCAACACTTTTAAGATATATTAATAAGAGTTAAATTAAGAAATTACCGTCTTGTATTGAAACATTCAAGCACTTTCTTTTCAGAAATATAAACCCTCATTATTATCTATATATTTCTGCCATCTCGAGATTTATGCCTTTGCGATAGAACTCTGGGGATCTGAAGTCTTATTGTATTTTTTTCTAAAAACAAACCTGTTTGCAGGAAGTTGTCCAAATTGTCCAGGCAATTGGTTGGGGCCTGCCAAGTACGGAGCATGTTGAATGGTTTCTAACTGCAGGTCTTGTAATGTTAAAACTGTTTCTCGGGCAGTGTGAGGACTTAAGTTATCATGGAGCTATAACGGTGAAGATGAATTAACGAGTCAGGGTTGTTTCTCTTAGTTTTGCCATCGTTGTTCGAAATTATTCGTAATAGACTCGTGTATTGATCACTGGATTTCAATATGCTATAGTGAATTACAAAACTACACTACAAAGTGACCACCAAACAGTTACCATTACTTTTTGAGCTTCACTTTAGAGGTTTGTTTCGGTATAAGACTGGGGTTTAGCCATTACGTTTTCCGCTTATGATTATCGTAAAGAATCTACTTTTCATTGCACATCACAATTCTGTTAAAAACACCTTAATTTCTGTACCTACTCATCAATCAAGACGAATTCCTTTATGCACATCGGTTAATTCATGAGGAACCCATTTCTCAAACATTTTATGGTACCAATTTCAAACCAAGACGGTAAATCCTTACTTGTTTAATAAGGGTCGGCTTCAAGCAGTACTTTTAGTTCTTCATTATTAATCCTTAGTGTTAATGATATTCCTCGTGGTTCATTCTTTATTCGAAGTTTCCACCACAAAAACAATTAACTCAAAAACGCACAGTGCTCTCGTTAGTCGTCTCTCTCAATGTAACATTGATATTGAGAGCTGACTTACTGCGTTAGAATCACTTCGGAGCTTATATTGGAAAATAATACTAATTTTTGAGGTTCTCATGTCACACAAATACTAAATTTAAAAACGTCCGTACGCGTATATCCAGGATTCGTCACCTGATACGATGTTGTATACAGCATTTGAGGATCCTGCGTGGAATCTTTCGAGAGTTCTGACGCACCAAGTAACGCGAGCCGCTTTTTGCTCTTCACAGAGCGAATGCGGTATCCATCGGGAAAACAACTTTTTTACACCTAATTGTTCATGCAAGATTATTTGTATTTGACTCATGCCAATGTCTTAAATTGCTTGAATTTCGCGGTATGTCACATGTCTATCTTCCTCAATCAGCTTACGCACAGCATCAACGTTTTCTTGGGTGACTGCAGTTTTTGGACGACCTTGACGGGGATCATCAATGAGCTTGACACGTCCACGTTGAAATTCAGCAAACCAGCGATAAATTGTGGTTCTGGATGGGGCTTCATCACCAAATGCAGAAATCATCTGGTCAACACACTGTTTTTGTGTTAAACCACTTCGAAAGTCATAATAAATCATCGCTCTTGAATTTTCTCGAGTCAATTCCATTTTCTCAACGACTAAACAAGTTTGACAAAACCTTGTGACAAGACCGAGAATCTTTTTTTAAATAAATAAATGGTATTCAATTTTAAAAAACCAAGGAGTTTTCAATTAAAAAGATTTTAATAAGACAGGAACAGTGGAAATATTCCATTCCCGATACTTTTAGTGCAGCCTATGTATTACGTAACCGCTTACTTAATTTGTCCCACAAACAGGGCATCTCCCTGTTTCTGAGAGGGTTATGGAGCCAGAAATATTACCGCAGCGCTTCTCCAGTACGAATTGGATGACTCCACTCTCGTTATATTTATTACAGTGCAGACCCGAATATTTCTTCACGGTGTTTTCCAAGCACATAGCTAATTAATAACAAAATTACAACGGTCGGCTGGGGATCGAACTCAGGTTTGTTCGCATACTCGAAATAGATATTATGTAGTGAGCACCAAGCCCACACGCTACTAAAGCTCTAGTGCAATATAGTTTATTTAACTAACAATAAACAAACATCCACGAAAAGAAGTAATGTAATGGATACTCACTAATTTTAGTTTTAAAAGAAGCTGATTACTTACTAAAGGCTGTTTCCCTTTAACTCGTGCTAAATAGCCATGATCTTTTTGAATGTGTTGTATCCACTGCTCTCCGTCAACTTCTTGATCACAAACTCCACATTCAACCATCCCTGTGTGGATAAATTCGTTTTCACCTTCGTTGATAAAATCTTCACATATAATCGAATCATTTACATTAGCCTGCAAAAGAAATATTTGGTCTTTCAGCATAATAAAAAACTTGAATTGTCAGGTTTTAAGTTTTTGGCTACGAATTTTTAGAGGGTCTGCTTTTTTATGAGCAACAGTTTTAATTAAATTACAATAGTGGACAGAGAAGCCGTCACGATTTAGCGATAACAAGTTGTCACAAACCGCGGTCACTTAAAAATTAAAATATTCAAGTAGTCGAAAACCCTATTCGAGAAAACCAAGGAATGATACAGAGAGCTTGAGCGAGAATTGAATATAAGATCAGCATCAATGCCCATCATAATAACGAAATTCGACGCCAGCAGTAACAAAACGTTTACGTTGTACTGACTTACGATACGATGAAACACGGCTACATAATTGTAACACAGTAGCAAATGTTCGCCTCGTGTGTTATAAAACCAGTCACCAGAAATATTGCTACTGTGGTGCTAGAGGATGGAAGATGTTTTAGTCATGAATGATATAATAGTTTTTGTCCTAAAAGTATTATCAACTCTTGATGTGACAAGCTATAAAGTTAGAAATATGGTACCTTCCCTGGCATCACGACAACGCAGTCTATTGTCTCAGTTAACAATTTCACTTTCCGATTTTTAGACACAATAGTAAGACAATATTAATGAACTATATGTAGTTATAGGGGTGTCTGGGATCTACCTCCGAGCGGTCCACCCCGGGCAACGGTATCACTAGCTACTTTAACGTTGCCCCGCCAAATCCCGAAATGCCCCACTGTGTCAGTTGGCAACTGGATCGCAGGAGCCGGTGGCTATTCCGGAGAGGGGGGGGGGGGGGGGGCTCGGGCGTCCGAGAAGCCGCGCCTATTAAATGTGGCTTTTGGTGGACACCGGTGTAGAGAAAACCCTCTATGCTTGTTGTATCTATCGATCGCATGGTGGAGACCAGGAGATGACTAGGCCGACTGAACATCTGACAGGGATGGCAGATAAAGCCCAACAACGGTATCCATCAGCAGAGCTAGTTTTTCTCGCGTATTTTAACGCCCACCACAAAAAGTGATTGTACCCATACGAAAAAACCGACCATGCTGGGAGAGAGGCGCGCAAACTTCCATTATCACTAGATCTCACTTAGCTGATTCTAGTAGCGACGCGGGTACCAGATGTAGCTGGACTTACACCCAATTGCTTGGACCTTCTGCTGACAACAGACCTAGACGGGCACTCGATATCTGTCTCAGCTCCTCAGGTATCATCCGATCACTATCTGGTGAAATTCGTATCGATTTCTCCCCCGGATGACTGTCCAGCGAGCACGAGGAGAGTATGGTGATACGAATCAGCAGGCTGGGATAAAATGCGGCACTTTTTTGCATCCTATCCATGGCGGCAAGTGTGCTTCTCTTCGGATGAACCTTCCTGCTCTGCCGATGCGGTTGCGAATGTGATACGGCAGGGAATATATGTTTTACTCCGGTCTCCGTCAATTCGCTCGGTCACAAGGCTATCCCATGTACGCATTATGCCCTGGTATAATGCGAACTGCGCTCGTGTTGAGGCCTGCAAGGATTCCGCCTATGGGGTCCGGGTTCTAGCTCGCGATCACAAAGTTAGGGCTCGGAGGGTTCGTGCGAAGAAGAGAGCTTTTAATAATGCTGCCAAGTCCTGCAAGCAGGTTCTCCAAAGGGCACGATTCGATCATGTAAGTCGTATAGGAGCCAGACTTGCTTCCTACCTACCTCCTGGTAGTAATAAATTTTGGTCCCTGTCGAAGGCTGTCAAATCCAACTTCTGCCGTTCCTCATTGCCTACCATGCAGAAACCTGATGGAACACTAGCTCACTCCGCGACTGGGAAAGCAAATTTATTTGCATCTCTGTTTACGAGAAATTATCGTCTAGACGCTGGCTCTAAACAACCGCCAACCCTACCTCGCTGTGATTCTTCGATGCCTAAGGTCACAATCTATACGAAAGAGGTACGTAGAGCTTTGCAAAACCTAGACATGAACAAGGCCAGTGGACCTAATAGTATTCCTGCAAGGGTACTAAAGCATTGTACGCCTGAGTTGTCTCCTGTTCTGACGCGCCTGTACTGCCTCTCTCTTAAAACTTGAATGGTGCCCAAATCTTGGAAGCTTGCCAATGTCCAACCAATATCCAAGAAGAGTAGTTGTGCCGATCCCTGTAATTATCGCTCAATCGCCATCATCTCCAATACTCTGTAAAGTTATGGAAAGGGTATTGAAAATGAGGCTGCTGACATATCTTGAAACAATAGACCTCCTCAGTAACCATCAATATGGCTTCCGCCGGGGACGGTCCACGGGCAATCTTCTTGTATATGTCACGCACTTCTGTGGCAAGGCCATTGAGAGAAACGGTGAAGCTTCACTCGACATCTCGAAGGCTTTTGACAGGGTTTGGCACGCAAGTCTGCTGAGTAAGCTTCCTGCTTACTGCATCCCCGCCAAACTTTGCAACTGTATATCTTACTTTCTGAAAGAGCCGTCGATCAAGGTAGTCTTCGGCTTCATTCATTCAGGCTGCTCTGCGGACCTAATGTATATATTAATACTGTAGTTCCTCAGGGTTTTGTTCTCTCTGCGACTCTTGCTGCACATCAATGACCTACTTCTACCAGGTATTGTTAGGTATGCAGGTGACAGCACAGTCACAGTGAGATTCATGATCAGTGCAAAAAAGGGAGGGGCAGTAATACGTTCACTCAGAGAGGCCATGGTGGAGCGGATAAATGCGACCTTAAGTCTCGTCTCCCAATGGGGTGATGTCAATCTGGTAACTTTCAACGCTGCCAAAGCGCAGGCCTGTCTTTTCTCCGCAAAACGGAGTCCTTTTACTCTGACTCCTACTTTCCGAGGTACATCTGTAGAGGTTACTGATCATCTCGAGCTTCTCGGCATACAGTTGAGTTCTAACTTCAACTTTGGCGCCTACATTGAGTCGAAAGCACAAACTGCGGCCAAAACTGGGTATTTTAAACAAGGTGAAGCGATACTTCACGCCTGGACAGCTTCTGACTTTATAAAAAGCTCAACTCCGAACATGCATGGAATATTGTAGTCACCTTTGGGATGGCTCAACAAATTATCAACTTGCCGCACTCGACTCAGTGCAACGCAGAGCCAAGCGGCTTATTGACGACAAAAAGCTGGTGAAAAATAAGCTCCACAGCTTAGCTCACCGCCGTCAAGTTGATTGCTTGTCGGTCTTCTACAGATTGTAATTCGGAGTGTACCCATGAGCTTCATAAGCTCACACCGCCATCTCCATTCTACTATTGGAATACCAGTAATACTGCCGGTTACCATCCACACTTGGTTGATATTCCGAATATTCGCACTAACTGCTATAAGTCATCTTTCATAATGCGCACAGCCAAGGAGTGGAATGCCCTGCCGGCGTCTGTTTTTCCGAGTGCATATAACCTGAACCTCTTCAAGTTGCGTGTTAACAGGCTTCTCCTGGGTAAACTCGGTCCATCGTAGACCTTATCTTTGCCCTCGGGCCAGATGGAGGTCAAGCGTGAGCCTAGTTTAATAATAATAAAAAAAGTAACAACACGGGACAGCGAATGAGTTAAAGCACGGAGCAAATACAAAGAGGAGACGGCCTAAGCACTGCACTGTGATTTTAACTAGGTTCTGACGTCATCGCAGTGGGCGTGGCTTTAGCTAGTATACTGTAAGCGTTCATCCTGTGCGCTTATATGTCGAAAGACGTAAATCGGTGTATTTTCATAGTATTTAGAAGAAAAGGATGAAGTGTGGTTTTATCGTGTAAAAACTACTCAGAAAGTTTCTCTAATGCTATGGATGGCATCATATTTCATTTGTAAGTAATTTTATGCCTAATTTATTAAAATAATTCTAGAAAAATCTCTGCGTCGGCTTTCAAATATAATTAAATATATTCGACACTAGATGGCGATACTTTGTGTCATATGAACTAAAATAAAAGGTACGTAGAGCTCAGTATTGGTAAAATAATCATACGGAGGTGCTGAAATTTGTTTTGTATTGAGTCCTAAAGAATTTTTTATTGGCAAAATATTATAGGCAATCTATCGTCAAGGCAGCTAAACTGCATTTCAACATCGATATGGAACGATGCGAGTAGTTTTACTATTTATCGGTAGATGGAAGATAGTCAAATGACCAGGGCTAACACCCCCATACCCCGCAAATTGTCACGCGTTGTTACGTAGTGAAATCTAATTACAACACTTCCTCTTTGTATTTGCTCCATGGGTTAAAGTGACAGTAAATTCATATAAAAATCATTCAATAAATAACACCATTTACCACATTCAAAAAATAAAAGTGCTTACCACAGTTCCATCGCACTTCTTAATATGTTGCAAATACGCCTTGACATATTTACGAACCAACCCACATTTGGCACAAACTAAGCCATCAACATGTTTTGACACGCTATTTAGATATTGCCTTACTTGTTCTTCATCATCCACATCCTGCAATTTATAAAACATCTAATTAATTGCGAAACGTAGCTGTTTAATTTTTTTTTTTGCGTATTGTTATAGGTTTACTTGCAGTGTGCACCTAAAAATCTTTAGTACAGCAAAACTTTTAAGATATATTATTAGGAGTTAAAGTATAAAATTACTGTTTTGTAAAACATTCAAGCACTTTCTTTTGAGAAATATAAACCCTCATTATTTATATATTTCTGCCATCTCGAGGTTTATGCCTTTGGGATAGAACTCTGTTTTATTGTCTTTTTTCCTAAAAACAAACCTGTTTGCAGGAAATTATCCAAATTGCGGAAAAAACGGCAATTAGTTGGGGCCGGCTCGTACGGAGGATGTTGAATGATTCATAAATTCATGATTACATAAAGGTCTCGCCTTATTTGTTGTTGGTGCATGCAAAATTCATAACCTCTCGCTTCTTACGTGTGTAAAAGCAATGTGAAATACCAAAAAATTTCAAAAAAGCTACATTTATTGTTATACTGCCTAAAGTTCGAGACAGGTCGTACAGCGGTTGCAGAATCCTAAGCTAACTATTTCGGCAAGTTCAATCAACTTGAAAATAGTCTTTGAAATTGGTCACTTAGGGCTCAGGCTTTGTTTTAAAAGTAGCATACTCACTAAAGGTGCATTTCCTTGTACCCATGCTAAATAATCATGTTCTTTTTGTATGTGATCGACCCACTGCCCTCCATCCACTTGTTTTTCACAAACCGCACATATTACTGTGCCAGTATGTTTCAATATAAATTCATCGAAACTTGTGTCCAAAGTACTTTCCAAAACTAACTTTTCATTTGAATGTGAAATGTCAACAGGTGTCTGCAAAAAATATTTATTGTAAGTACAGGCATTATAAAAACAGCAACACTTATTAATAGACCGGCTACTTTAATCTATATAGTAAATTTGAAAATTTCACATCATCATCACCATCATCAGCCTGTAGAAGCCACAGTTGGCGAGGGCCACACCCGTTTTTGATTGAATTTGCCTTAATTGACGACACGTTTGGCAGCCAGCTTGACAGATAGACGTAAAATGTCTCTTGCTCGATGCTTACCGTCGCCGATCTGAGTATTTTGCACCTGGCGTAAACGAGATGGTTATCTGCCGTCTATCAGTAGCTATAAGATCTTATTCATGCCCCATCCTCAATCTTACAACATTTTTGTTAAAAGTTAAAGTTACAGTCTATATACGTCCCACTGCTGGGCACAGGCCTCCTCTCATTTCTGAGAGGGTTTTAGCTGCGCCAATGCTTGTTGGTGAACTTCACATGTCAGGTATCAGTGTCACATACACATACAGGTTTTCTCATGATATTTTCCTTCACCGCCAAGTACGTGATAAATCAGCACTTAAAATTGCAATTAACATTTTAATTGGTGCAGGTGGGAGTCGAACCCGGGTACCTCGCGTAATGTGAAATTTATATTTAGATAGGCCCTAGACTACCACAGCTTACACATTTTTGTACATCGATATAAAAACAACAAATATTATTATTTATAATTATAATGTACTTTTCTAATGATCCTTTTGTAATAAAGCAAAATGTCATGTTAGTTATCTATCAACTATATAGCCGTATCAAATTATATAGCATTCTTGAGATAAAAAAAAACTATTTTATTTATTAAAATGTAGAGAATATATGTATATATATATATATATAAAATAGAATATATGCAAAAGTGATTTAAAGTTAGGCAACAACTATTAATCTGTGAAGAGTGTGCTATTCTAATTTTTTATTATTAGTGATTTGAAATAAGAGACCAAAAATGAGAAAAGGAAATGAAAGTATATTTACTTTCTTTTCCTATAATATACCTAAAAATTAACAAAAATAGAAATACTAACTTTTTCTAAAATGCCGTCGCAATTTTTAACATGCTGCAGGTATGCCTTGATATGTTTTCGTTTAAGCCCACATTTAGCACAGACAAGGGCTCTCAAATACGTCCTTATATGATGCAAATGATTCCGCACTTCCTCCTCATCATTTAAATCCTGTAATTTTTTTATTTGTTTAAAATTATGTTTAAAATTGTAATTTTTTAACAGTGGTAGAGCCACGTGGCAGCTTTTGCTGTCGCACGGATGGGCCGGCTCGAACCGGGGTGGTACCACGACCTCACAGAATACCAGCGTGAAGTAGAGGTTTACCTCTACGTTTCGCTTGGTGAGTGCAGGTGGCCGGAGGCCCTTTTTACTAGAAATGAGGCATTCCATCTTAGTCCTCACGGGTGACAACGCATCTGCATTTTGATTCGCAAACGAGGATAGATGTAGATGTCTATGGGCCGCAGCAACCACTTACCATCAGGTGGACTGTGTGCTCGTTTGTCACCCTTATCCTATAAAAAAAAATGCACGTATTGGCAAAAACAAAAAATATCTAATAAAAAAAGTAACCAGTAGAAGTCATAACTTCGAACGTGGCAAAATAGTTCCTTTGCCGTTTGTTGTAATGCCTATGGATTACCCGATTCGCGGTAGCAAGGAGGACGAGTGTTCTATTTACTTCGTGTTTTACCTTTATCGCAAGTCGGCAGGGCCAGGGAAATACTCATGTGCTCATAGTAGGCCAACAGCACCGACCAGCCTTGGTAACCCTACGAATTTTTCCGTAGATCTACGGAATTTTGTCATCATCTACGGAACTAAGGAATACGAGGTTGAAATCTACGGAATATTTAAAAACTTAACAAGAAAAATATTTTTTATCATGAGTGTGAAATTAGCCGACAATGTCATTCTGTCTCTCTTCTTCTATACTTGTCTCTATATTAAAAAAAAATTGCTTGTAAATATATAATTTTTTGGTGAGGTTAATCGATTTCAAATTTCAATAGCGTAAACATTTTAGATTAAATTACGTTTATTTCGAATATCGAACACTTCTTCAAAAATGAGAAGTTATATATTATAAACGCTCATAACATTTTCATAGATGATTGAATTGTCTCAAATTTTTCCAGTTTTCCCAAACATTTTCACAATTATTTAAAAAATTCTCGTGAATAATTCTTCTCTTTTCCTCGATCTTTTTAATTATCTATGTTAATTTTAGTGAAGATGGTCCGTTGTTTATCATTCGTCTTATTATTGCTTCAAAGTTTTTCAGCATCAAGTTTGAAACGTAATTTTCTTAATATAATGTTGTTAATTATTTTATTTGTTTTTTAATAAAAATAATTTAATTAAAAGAAAACAATTAATTTTTAATCAGTTTTTATATGGTACTTTTTTCTTATATGTGCAGCTTGATTCGATGTTATAACTACAATTGAACTTGTAACAAGAATTTTATATGTCAGAAAGAATTTCTCCAAAAAATTGATCTATTCTATGACAAAAACAAAAATTTTCGGTCCTCTTTAGAAGTCTGCAGATCTACGGATGTTTTGAAATAACATCTACGGAATTTTTTGATTGGAAAGATTTGGAAAAATTTGAGATGGCAACACTGTCACCGACCGTTCACTTACAGCCCCTCTTCTGAGCTAAATGTTGCTTTCCCCTTCCCTCCTAACAAGACGCCACAGAATACAAAAACAGCGTTGCCTATTTGCGGACTTTATAAACCTTTGTCAGATAAAGTGGGGAATTACTATAACTTCAGAAGTTTTAGAATATTTAAGACCTTTAATTTATTTATTGAATGCAGTATATATTTAAATAATTCACTTTTTATTCGTATCAACACTCATAAGGTGACTCTCTCGTTTAAGGCGACCCACAAAAGAAGCAAAGCGGATGTCTATTTTTAAAGTATGTTTGTTCTCCTCTCAAGCTGCATCCATCATGCTAGTGATATCGACGTTTTCTAAACACGGAAGTCAGTACTTTTTATAAAGATACTGTCTCCGAATATAGTCTTAAATCAGCCTTTAGTGGTTGTTCTTCTAGTATTATAGCATGGTAAGAAGTGTAATAGCGTAATAACGACACCCCTATCCCTTCCAGCACCGCACCATTAGTGGTGCGCCACCACCACAATCCCGGAAGGTAGGCAGAGTGACCTTTTTTTAGGATAGGATAAAAAATGAGCACACAGTCCACCTGATGGTAAGAGGTTGTTGTAACCCATAGACATCTACATCTATCCTCAGTATAGAATCAAAATGTGTTCGAGAAGCTTTAGACGTGTTGTCACCCATGAGGACTAAGATGGAATGCCTTTTTTCCAGTAAAAAGGGTCTCCGGTTCTCTACACTCACCATACGAAAGACAGCAGCATTAAGCTGCTATTTTACGCTGGTATACTGTGATAGCGTGGTTCTTTCCCAGTCAAGCCGACCCATTCGTACTACAAATATACTACTAATGTAGCTGCAGCATGGCTTTACCACGTATAACCTGTTGTAATGATATTGTATGACCTATTGTAATGATAATTATCTCCAACTTCGCCTTAACTGCGGAGGGCAAGATGAATAATGTTTTGCGACACCGCTATTGAGCTTCCCATATTCACACAGAGCTGCCACCTCAGGCAGATCCTGCAGCTAAGTCAAGCCATGTGGAACAATCAACTTTACCATGACAAGATAAGAACTAATTGAGGGGTTTTTAAAATTACCTTTAAGTAAAAAATGTCTATAAATTGTTTTAGTAAACTTACTAAAGGTGGTTTTCCCTCAATTCTTGCTAAGTAGTTATGTTCTTTTTGTATGTGATCTATCCACTGCTCTCCTTTTACTTCTTTTTGACAAACTCCGCATTTTACAAGACCAGTATATAATATTTCGCTGTCATCCGTATTTGGTTCATGCAATGTTTCATTATTCACATCTGATTTGGTAATTTCACAAGATGGATCGCTAAGCATAGTATCATTATTGAATGCCTATAAACATAATGATTAGGAAATTTACAAAAATAAGAAAATCATCATCAGAAGCTCTTCCTTGGGAAAATGCAAAATGTTAAATATATATATATATATATATATACAAATTAAATATTATTAATAAGATTATTAAAGTGGATTTGATGACTCTGCCACTCACTTCTTCAGCATAAATTTGCTTTGTCACTATTTTTTCATTCATTCCTTTCCTGGTCACAGTGTTGTCTTACAAACCATACTTTTCTATATTACTTTTACTCTCATGCTTCTTCTGTCATACCCAACTTTCATTAGGTACTATACATTAACGTAGGACTAACACAAGATTGTAAATTGTCATGCGTGCCTATTTTGACAATATCATCCTTGATATTTTTATCACTGTTTAGTATACCTACCTCAATTACCCAAGTTATTTTAAGTATATATGAATTTTTATAAATACCCACTTCAGGCAAATTTTGATGCTTATATCGCCATCTATATTTGCACCAAGATAAATACAGGCTATTAAAAACGATAAAGAATAAAACATGGGTAAAACTGTAAAAATACTCACTTTACTGCCATCGCAACTTTTAATGTGCTGCATGTATGATTTGGCATATTTACGAACCATTCCACATTTAGCACAAACCAGCCCGTTTATTTCTTTTGTTATATTATGAAGATGTTTTCGAGTTTCCTCTTCGTCATTGACATCCTGCGAATGACAATCAAAATCAATTTTTGTACAAGTTTCTTAATTTACATAAATCAATCAACATCCTCGATCTGTATCAACATTTTTTTTTAATATTACAAAGCTATCTTAACAAAATGTGCCAGCTGATGCTTCAATAAATTTAATCATAACATGAAATATATCACATTTTTTTCTTACTGAGATCATTTATAGTTAGAAATTTGTATATAATAATAAAGTTCTTTAAGTTCGTCATGGAAATAATTTTCTTATAAACAAATTACAGCCAATATTAAACAAATTTTGATGGTACAGTAAACTATTTCTCCTTTGTTTTCTATTTAACAGTTTGAAGATACATTTAATTTATTTTTCAATAAATGGTTAATGTGACATAATATAAATACATATATTCTCATACTTACTAAGGCCGTGTCGCCATCTTTCCAAGCTAAATAATTATGTTCCTGTCCAATATGGTCCATCCAATGTAAAACATCCACATCTAAATGACAGACACCACATTTTATAGGTTCATCTTTAAGCTGAAGTTTCTTTAAAAAAGTGTTTTTGTCATCATCAGGTGTTTCCTATAACAAAGTGATGCTGGTCATATCAATCAAATTATGAAAATTCGCCACCATTGGCAGGCGGATTTGTGATCAAAAGACCAATAAATAAGCTAATGTTTGATTATGATATGATCTGATGGGTGACGGTAGTTGGCGATTGCAATGCCGTCTTATATACTATCATTCATCATCATTACAGCCTTTCATAAGTCCACTGCTGAACATAGGCCTCCCCCAAGGGATGCCACAAAGCACGGTCCTGAGCCACCTGCATCCATCGACTTCCTGCATGTCTTACCAGGTCGTCACTCCATCTCGTGGGTGGTCGACCTACACTTCGCCTACCGGTACGAGGCTGCCACTCAAGAACCTTTCTTCCCCATCGGTTGTCGGTTCTTCGAGCTATGTGGCCGGCCCACTGCCACTTCAGCTTACTAATCCGTTGGGCTATGTCGGTTACTCTGGTTCTACTGCGATATACTCATTTCTAAGTTTATCACGCAGAGAAACCCCGAGCATAGCCCTCTCCATAGCTCGCTGAGCGACCTTGAGCTTCCTCATACGGCCAGCAGTGAAGGACCACGTCTCAGATCCGTAAGTCATCACTGGCAACACGCACTGGTTGTACAATTTCGTCTTAAGGTTTTGAGGTATGTCTGACGAGAAGATGTGTCGTAGTTTCCCCGAACGCTGCTATATATACTAAGATAATATATAATATAATATAATATATATACTAATAACAGTACAAATTCAATTTATGACAGTTTTACGTCCGAACAGAATATTGGAGAAATTACGAGCATATTCGGATGTAAAAACTGTTGTAGGTAAATAATTTGATTTATATCCTTATACACATTATAAATGTCGAAGCAAAACCATTCATCCCAATACTATGGATATCACAACAAATGGATCTGCAATTGTCCGATATGGATCACTGTGCATCTGTGTAGTTGGCCGATAATAGAAAGGAACATACTACATACACCAATGTATCTCCGCCTATTCGCTAGTTCTCACCGCTGTAAATTTATTTTTGTCAAAAAGCGTAGTTATATTCGCACTACAATAGCTCCCACTTGTGTTAAATAGCATAGCTACTATTATATTTTTAAAAACAAAGCAAAAGAAATAATATGTCAAGTGCTGGTATTTTCGTAGACACCAGACGGCAAAATATATATTGTACTAACTATATTTTTGTTCTATCAAAGCATAATAGGTACTGTTTGATATGTATCAAATACGAAACAAAATAATAGAAACTTACATTTTCAATAAAACGACCACAACTTTCTACATGTTGTAAATACGATGTTACGTTTTTGAGAGTAATGCCGCATTTACAACAAATTAATCCTGTTGACTGTTTTGAATATTCCTCCAGGTGATTAAATAAAACATTTTTATCTTGAAAGTCCTTAAATATTAAAAAAAAATACACTTTTAAATAATCAATAAAAGCATTCAATTAATTTGAACACAAATATGTAATAAAATCAGGGGTGTCACTTCCACTATGGAAGGTATGGAGCACTCCATACCTCAAGTTTTTCAAGGTATGGAATTCCATAGCTGAAATTAGGAAATAAATCGCATATTACTACAAACCCCATATAAATAAATCGCAAGCCCTTAAACCTCAATACCCCACATCTTATAGTTCAATAAATAAGTTGAGTATATACACTGCAAACTCTTAAACCTTAATACCCCACGAGTAATGCGAACAAATTTGAAAATCGCGCCACCATTTTCCATACCTCAGATTTTTACAAAGTGACACGCCTGAATAAAATAGTTTTTGATAAAAAATATTGCCTCAAGTTTAAAAATTCATAATACGAATGTATGATGAAAGTATAAATTACTGCTTAGCATGAAAGAATGTGATATACTATGTTATACTTTAAAGCCTATATATATACACTAGAGGACATTTTTGCCGTGCAACCTGACGCGGAACACTCAATCTACGTGACGATACAACGTTGCACAGTGACCCGCAATATTTTACGTGACGCGGAACATGTTGCTTGTTCCCACTCCGTGAGCGAGGGCACGTGTCCCGCGTCAGTGTCAACATGTCAGTAGTGTGGGAAAATGAAACCGTGCTTTTACTTCTTAAGTTTTCCCAGAGTCATATTTTGTTGTGGGATACTTCAAACCACAAACTTCTGATACTATTCTGCCGATCAGTTATTTCGACACTCGAAGTGTACGACAAGGAAGCATAAGAACCTCCAGTCGACAAGTATTTTAATGCAATGGTAAGTGTGATATGATTGCTAACATACTAACTAGCTAACAAGTATATCCAAGGCTTTATGTGCAACACGTGTTAGAGTGCATGGGCTCTAATTTAATTAGTCTGTGTTAGGTGCTTGCCGCAACGTAAAATGTTTAAGGGCTACGACAGAGCCAAATAAGTAAATAATATGCCTTCATGAAGACTGAGGTGCAATGAAAACCACTCAAGAAAAAATGATTAGAGGTCAAGAAGTAACTTTTTGCACTAAGCTGCCATGTCTTATCGATATAACACACAAATTTTAATTACATTTATAAAATGTCATTCGTGGCGACACTTCGTCGCGCTCGCGGCCATGTTTCAGTAAAATTATAGAATAACAAATTTTCTATTCAGATGTGACACTATTGACGTTGTATTATAAAAAAAAACCAATATGTTTTAGTAACAGTTGTGATGTAAAATAGATTACGATATATTTATACCATTGGAATGCACACTATTTTAATGTTCAAAGTTAATTATTGTATTGCATATTAATTTAATACATTATTTTTCCTATACACTACATCAAGTAAAATTAACCATACAGTCTAAATAAACTAAAACTACAATAATTACATAAGAACAATCATTCTACTTACGCAGAATGATTAATATGTCCTCTGCTGATCGCTATGGTTAATCTATGATGGTAAAAAGTAACGCATGCGCATGAGCGATGATATACGAGTGGCGCACATTTTTTGTATGAAATAGCTATTCTAGTACGAAAGTACATTGTTCTTCAATGTAAATAAATTGGTTATTGTAAAATGCTAAAAAACATATTAATAAAACAATAATATTATATTATAATTTACCAATGGATTCTCGCCTAATTTCCATGCTTGATAATTGTGTTCTGTAGCGATATGGTCCACCCAAAGAGTTGTAAGAACTTCTTGTGCACATACTCCACACTGATGGAATTTATCTTCTATGGATGACAAAGGGAGGGTGTCGAGTTTATTATTTTTCATTTTGTCGACATCATGTTTAATATTTAAATTGTGAAAAAAGTTCTGAAATAACATGAACAAGAAATTGATAGACCATTCTTTTATTTATGTATAATACAACAAGTTGAAGATTAAAAATTACCTTCATACAGTTTTGTGCATGTATCACAAACATTTTCGGGCATTGTTTCTCTATGCCACAAAAAGTACATTTTAAACTTTGTACTTCTTTTAATCTTTGGCATATTTTCTTTAACAAATTTTCATTCCCAAAATCCTAAAAAAAATCAAGTTGTTATGTAAAACCATACAGTTGTCAAAAGCAAGTAAAAAGTTGGAAGATATAGATACGCTGCCGGAAGAAATGGGATATAATAGTTATTTAACTTTTGCAAAGCCAAGCGAACTAATTTTATAAGATGTGTCGATTTCCGACTATACTACATTTCCGAGTTTCGGAAGCTTATAGGTTAGAGAGGAGAGTAGACAGGATGGCTTGAAATCTACCACACTTCTCAACATATTATAAACGATCTCATAAATCATGTAGTAGCGGTGTAAGAATATCTACTACCTCATACTACTGTCCCGTAGGTGTCGTAGGAGGCAACTAATGGAAACAAACAAGGAGAAGGGCAGCAGCATCTTAGATAGGCAGTAAGGGTTGATGAATGAATAATCTCATCATGGGAACATGCAAGTGAAAAGTGTAATGAATGGAAGTGTAGAAGGATTGGCACTGGCACATACACTGGGACAATTTTAGAGACAACGAAATCATTATAGATCAGAACAATAATGAATGTAACCTTTTCCAATCTGATTTAAAATAATGTTTTGAATGCTATAATGTGGATATTTATTTAAATTCCTAGAACAAATGACGAAAAATCGATTCATTTGAGGAAATCGAAAATGTGATTGAAAATTAAATAACTGAATTTATTCAGAGAAGATACAATTTTTTCTCATAGATGAATTTTGAAAGCTGAAATACGAAACAAGCTAGATTTATAAAAGTATGTCTTCCACAATAGTCACTTACTAAAGAAAGACCATCTCTCCAAGCGATGTAACAATGCTCTTCAGAAATATGGTTTTCCCAGTCTACTTCTGAGAACTCTTTTGAACATACCCCACATTTAATACTTGAAATGTATTTTTTGCATTGTGAAACAGTATCATAGATTTCTTCAGTGTTTATCTGCGATGTCTGAACAGATCTCCTGCGTTTCTAAAGATAAGAAGTTTAAATTACATATTTTAATTAATTTTTACAGTAACTTTTTTCTGAGGATACTTAAAAATAAGCCTGATCTTAATCATATGCTTTATTGCAATAACATAGATTTCTAGCGAATTAACAGAACAAGAATAAAATTTCAGAACATATTATATTTATATAATTTATTTGGACAACATTGGCATGTTTCATAATCATTGTCAAATTCAATGTTGCAGTTTGTTCTTAGGTTGGTTGTCCTCCCAAGTTCAGACCTCATTTTGAAAAAAATATCAGATTAAAAAAAAATAGGTTTGACGGAATTTTACTTTCTTGCATCAAAAACTGAAGATATTTCATTTCATTTGATAATCGCAACGTTTTGCAAGTGGGTATTTATTGGCATAATACATAATTATAAGTTCACTGCTTTTATTAGTCAAATATAAACATTTACAATTTTGCCCATTCTTAACATTTATATCATTAAATTGATTAATACATTAGACTAATTTCGTAAGATCTAACATTTTGTACAAGAGAACCTGTTATAGACCTGTTATAAATACCTTGTAGCATTACCTTTGCTTTGGAATTTATTACAGAGTAGTCAGTACTTTTGTCAATGTCTTTATGCACACTAAGCATAGAGCTTTTTGAAGATTTATTTGCTGCGGTCTGAAAAATAGTAAAATTATTTTTAATTTTAATTTTGTATATAGGTATAACGACACACTTTATCCTTATATAAATTCAAAACATTAGGTATTAAAACCTACACTGTTGATTTTATATTTATATTAAAAATGTATGAAAATATAAGTAGGTACAGAGAATTAAGTTTGGGGTGGTTCTTTCCATTGATGGTAATGCACTGATCGTTCATCGTTCCTTACGTTAAAAGTATGATCAACGCATGCGGCGTAAGAAGAACGCGTGTAAACAAAAATGTAGTCGTTAGACCGTACATTCATTTAGAGAAGAGAAAGTTATCAAATAAAGTTAAGACCCGGACCCATAATTAATATTGAAAATATGTATATTTTCAAGTAAAATTACTAATATTCCCATTTCAAATTATTCTGTCCATTTTTTACGAGCTCAATAGAAATATCGTGTTTCATTGAAAAATGGATATACGGAAATATTTTCGCGCAATGATTTTTTATAATTTTAAAAATGTCCCCTAAAATCAGACAAATCGTTTGATAGACCTTAAATAACATTTAGGGAAAATACCTTTCTAAGACAAACGTATACTGCTGCTATAACAAAATTTAATAGTCGACTAAATTTGACAGATGACTAAATGTTACGGAAGGAAAAATGCTAGCAGTAAAAATTTAATTGAAGAGAATTCTCGAATTTGATTTCGAGTTTTCCATTTGGCAATTCACACATACTGCAGAATGGAAGTAATCACAATATTTTAAACGAACACTTTCGCGAGAGAAGGATAGTTTTACGATAGTTTCGCTCAGAAACATGCCCGCGTGGAATGGTGCCGTGACTTGATAATGAAGCAGTCTAGACTGGCGTGTTTACGACATTCTTACGGTTCGTCCGTCTGTCTGGGTAAGTACAACTCTTTTACCTAATTCTGCCACCAAACGCAGTGCTTTCTGGTATGAAGGGTATAGAGAACCAGTATGATTACAGGCTGTGACGAATTCCATCTTAGTCCTTAGAGGTGACAGACAACATATCTGTAGCCTTATTTTTTAAAGTTGGTTTCAAATCACCATAGGCTGCAGAAAACACTCACCATCAACAGGACTGTATGTTCGTTTGTCACTTCAATTTTATAAAAAAAAACTATCTAAATACGAAACGCTTGTCGACAGTTAGGCTGTTTCAAAATAACTAACGCTTATCAAAGTGAAGCAATCGAGAAGCGCAGGGAAGATTATGATCGTGGTTTTTTTTTATTTTACTTTGCACTCGCACACACTGCTTCTAACCCTAATTTTGCACCATGTGAATTTTTTATACATTATACTCGTACTCGTAGTCTTAATTGCCGAAAGATGCGCTAGGCGCTTTCGAGCAGGGGTAAATAAATAGATAATATATTAAAATGTTTGTAAAACAAAAGTCACTTATCAGTTAGCTGGAAAGTAGTACAATGATGATGCCAGAAAATCCATATCCATACAAGTAAACTATGAACTATCAAAAACAGTTTCTGACAAATGGTGATATTATGGACATTATGGATGTGGATACCCCATAATGAACAGCAGTGCGATTGTGCAATTTTGGTTATAGAACTGACAACAAACAAGGAAATAAAAATCAGTTTCAAAAATGGCTACTGTAGTGTTTGCATATATATATATAAGTCACTGTCCCGAGCGCACCGCGTCAATTACACGAGAGCCTCGGGCGAGAGTGGACGTGTTTAGTTAAGTGCGTGCCGTAGCTGTGTTACACTACAGTGATTAGAGAAGATAGCAGACAATACAAGTGGCGACGAGAAAAAAAGGTAAATACCTGTTTAGTATAAAGATATATCAACAAAAATAGGTTAGCAATGTGCAACTATTAGCATTGCAATTGGAAATTGTAAACTAAATCCTAGAGTACCCGCGGAAAAAAAACTTTGGATTATGAATTATGATTTATTGTTTTTAACCCTGTTATGATCATTATAATAATTTATATAAATTATATGTTCGCATATGAGACCACGCTTATGGTGTGCAAAATTTATTTTCTTTATGTAGCAATGATAAAATAATGTTTTATTTTAACATAATATGTCTATTAGCACAACTTTTATTTACAAAAGACTTTTGATGGAAAAATAGTAGATGTAACTAATCACTCCTCTCGATTCGAACCGAAATACAATGTCGTTAGCTAAACTTTAGTTGCATTTTACATGTAGGTGTGATATTTATCGCCTTTAATGAAAATACTATTTTACTTATTTTACTTATTTATAAACAGTGGTAGAGCCACGCGGCAACTTTTGCTGTCGCACGGATGGGCCGGCTCGAACCGGGGTGGTACCACGACCTCACAGAATACCAGCGTGAAGTAGAGGTTTACCTTTGTGTTTCGCTTGGTGAGTGCAGGTGGCCGGAGGCCCTTTTTACTGGAAATGAGGCATTCCATCTTAGTCCTCACGGGTGGCAACGCATATGCATTTTGATTCGCAAACGAGGATAGATGTAGATGTCTATGGGCCGCAGCAACCACTTACCATCAGGTGGACTGTGTGCTCGTTTGTCACCCTTATCTTATAAAAAAAAAAAACCGCTTTCATGGCATATATAAGTCTTACAAAAAATTGTGGACACTTCCCGACTTCTGTAAATTGCATAGTAGGTAACTAGTAATACTGTAAATGCGCATTATAGGTATTGAATTCACCCAAAGCCTAAATGGCACAGCAATGGAAGTAGTCGGTATAACAAATAAACCGAAAGAGAAGGGGTGTTATGGAACATATTACTATCATGAAATTGAGTTTGGGTACCAAGATACCAACCATTAAATTGGTGTTGGGTACTAAGATACCATCATTAAATTGAGTTTGGGTATTAAGATACCATCATTAAATTGAGTTAGGGTACTAAGATACCATTATTAAATTGAGTTTGGGTACTAAGATCCCACCATTAAATTGGAGTTTGGGTACTAAGATACCACCGTTAAATTGGAGTTTGGGTACTAAGATACCACCATTAAATTGGAGTTTGGGTACTAAGATACCACCATTAAATTGGAGTTTGGGTACTAAGATACTACCATTAAATTGGAGTTTGGGTACTAAGGTAGGCACCACCATTAAATTGGACTTTGGGTACTAAGTTACTACCATTAAATTGGACTTTGGGTGCTAAGTACTACCATTAAATTGGACTTTAGGTACTAAGTTACTACCATTAAATTGGACTTTGGGTATTAAAATACCAGCATTAAATTGGAAATAAATATATAAGAAACTTTTCAGTTTGCCCCTAAAATAATAATAATAATGATACCGTTATCAACTTTAATGTGATAGCACATCTATGGCTATAAGGTGTGTAAAATGGAAAAGGTCTCTACTAATCTATCTGGACGCAGCTGAAGTTATATCAGCACTCAAGAAACGAGCTACGCTATTGCATTTTGGTGGCTCTGGGATACAAGAAATATTCTACAATTTACCGGGTGCCAATGTCGAATCATCAGAAACCGTTGATGTATTTAAAGTAGCCATAAAAAAAACTCTACGAGTATTTTCATCCTAAACAGAGTAAAGTTTATGAGTGGCATGTTTTTCGATTGCTAAAACAGGAAAAAGGAGAAAAATTTGAGAAGTTATTGATAAGATTGCGTCAACAGCCCGATCATCTCATAGATCAAATTGCGGAAAAGTGTAATTCGAAATTGCGCAAGAACCTTATATCTTACAAAACGTGGGAAGAGTTAAAAAGGCAAAAAAGTATATGCTTTTAATCAAATGTAAAGACCACACGAGACATTATTAGCATATGGTAGTAACTCTTCTTTGGCAATAGAGGGTTTATTTGAAACTATACTCGAAGTCGATGGACGAAAGGAACATACAACTATTAACCTGATTTCGGGGGGTACTAGAGACCTGTTGGGTAAGAACACAGCAGTTCGTCTGGGTGTCTTAAAACTTGGTATCGGGATAAATCAAGTGGAGAGTACCTATCCCCATTAAAGAGAAGGTTGCAATCAAAATTAAGGAATCACTAAACAGTGATATAATTGAAGAAGTGCAAGGCCCGTCTAAATGGGTTTCACCAATGTTCCAATCATGAAAGAAAATGGTGAATTACGTTTGTGCGTAGATATGGGATGTACGAACGCCGCTATATTGCAAGAAAACCACCCCCTGCCTACTATGGACCAATTTTGCCTAAAATGAAGAAAGCTAAATATTTTAACAAATTAGACATAAAAAAATGCCTTCCATCAAGTGGAAATTCACTCTGAATCCAGACACATAACGACTTTCATAACCCCCAAAAGATTATTTAGATATAAAAGAATAATGCTTGGAATTACCTGCGCTTCCGAGATTTTTCAGAAGATCATTGAAAGGATGCTGATAAACTGTGAAGGGGTCGTCAATTTTATTGATGATATCCTGGTATTCGGGAACAGTGAAGAACATGACGCATGACTAAAGAAAGTTCTACAGGTACTTAGTAAAAACAACGCCATGCTGAATAGCAATAAATGCATATATAAAACGCAGGATGTGAATTTTCTGGGACACAGGCTTACACATGAAGGAGTAAACCCTTCAACAAGTACGTTGAGAGCATTATGAAATTTAGGGTCCCAAAAACCATAGAAGAACTCCAAAGTTTTTTAGGACTCTTAAACTACATAAACAAATGGATACCTAACTTGGCCGCCATGACAGAATTTCTAAAGCACCTGCTAAGACAGAAGATGAGCAAAAGGAAGAGCTTGGAAAAACAATGGTCTGAGGAACAAGATAAAGCATTCCAAAAACTCAAACGGATGCTCAAGGAAATACAGATTTTAGGGTATTATGACGTCAAAGATGCAAGACAGGTGATAGCAGATGCTAGCCCTGTCGGACTTGGTGCTGTCCTTGTACAAAATGATACAAATGGCCCTAGAATTATTGCCTATGGTAATCGAACTTTGACAGACTGCGAGCGCAGGTATAGCCAAACGGAAAAAGAGGCACTAGCATTAGTTTGGGGGGTCGAACATTTAATTATTTTTTATTTGGAAATGCTTTTGATTTAGTCACTGACCACAAGCCGCTAGAGATATTGTTCGGGTCTAAATCAAAACCATGTGCGAGGATTGAACGATGGGTACTGAGGATACAGTCTTATTCATTCAAGGTTGTATACAAGCCAGGAAAAACAAATATAGCTGATCCCTTGTCACGATTATGTAACTATCCTGATAACCCACCAAAAGGAAAAGACCAGCATGTGTACCAAATATTCGAAAATTCTAGACCACTTGCTATACCAATGAGTACCATTGTAGCATATTCAGAAAAAGACCAAGAGATTTACAAAGTGAAAAAGGGTGTCTATCAGAACGACTGGGACGATTCGATTAAGAGTTACAAATTTTTTGAAAACGAGTTGTTTCCATGATATCATTCTACTTCGTGGAAATAAAATTGTAATACCACAGCAACTCTGCAAAAGTGTATTAGATGCTGCATACGAGGGTCATCCAGGTATCGTAGCGATGAAGGGACGCTTGAGATCAAAGGTATGGTGGCCCCGTATCGATAAAGACGTAGAATAATTAGTGAAGCCCTGTAAAGGTTGTACGTTAGTGGTTTTGCCAAACCCACCTGCACCAATGAAGAGACGAGAGTTGCCTGCAGCTCCATGGATAGATGTCACAATGGATCTAATGGGACCATTGCCAAGTAACGAGTATCTGTTAGTAGTGGTCGACTACTATAGTCGATACAAAGGAGTAAAAATTACAAAAACATCACAAGCTTACAGATTATTAAAATGGTAAAAGAAATGTTCAGTAGACTTGGCTATCCTATTTCTATCACCGCAGACAATGGCAAGCAGTTGGTTAGTGAAGAGTTTCGATCTTTCTTCAAAGAATGTAACATTAAGTTATTTAGTACTGTACCATATTGGCCTCAAATGATCGGCGAAGTTGAAAGACAAAACGGAGATATTTTGAAACGTCTTCGTATCAGCCAGATCGAGAGGAAGGATTTAAACGAATGTTTGTGGGAGTATATTCTAATGTATAACAGCACCCCTCCTTACAGTTACCGGGAGGTTACCGTCTAAACTGTTTTTTCAACGAAAAAGTAGGGATAAAATTCCATCAATAGGTGAAATAAATTACAGACAATCATTTAGATTCAGATATCAGGGATAGAGACAAAATACAAAAAGAAAAAGGAAAAGAGTATGTAGATAGGAAACGCAGAGCAACTCACTCAGATATAATACAGGTAAATAAGGTTTACGTAAAAGCAGTCGAAAAATCGAATAATCTTACAACAAATTTTAAACCGACGCCACACGTCGTAGAGATTGCACGAGACGGTGACTGCACAGTACACAATAGTGAAACGAACCAAAGGTTTAGGAGAAATGTGATACATTTGAAGAAAGTAGGAGGCGATTGGACGGCTATTCCACCCGAACAGAATTAAAAAGAACAAAATCTAGAACAGGATAAAGAAGATGAAAATATGTAATAATTAATACAGACAATACAAGCTGCTTGTGATTGTTATGAGTTATAATAAAAAAAAAAGAAAAAATCTTGATAAGAAAGAGATGTAGTGTTTGTATATATATAAGTCACTGTCTCGAGCGCACCGCGTCAGTTACACGAGAGCCTCTGGCGAGAGTGGATCCGTGTTTAGTTAAGTGCGTGCCGAGCCTGTGTTACACTACAGTGTTTAGAGAAGATAGCAGACAATACAGCTACCAAGAACTTTGGCTACAAAAGTCAATCCCGCAGTTGTACACTGGATTGTGGTCAATCATTTAACGATTTTTGATAGCATTCCCATCGTCATATCTGTGTGAACGTGGATTTAGCGCTGTGACAACCCTGCTTACTAAAAAAAGAAATCGTTTGCATGTTACCGAACGCGGCGAATTAAGACTGTTTTTGAGTAAAATTGAACCTGATTGAGGTTGTTAAAAATCATCAAATACACCTTTAAAAAAATAAATCGATTGAAACTAAAATTGATTACCTATCTATATTGTTTCTTTCAATTTTATTAAAATATATTCTTAATATTATAAAGTTGCGTTTTAATTGCTCTCACTGGTAATAATGTCTAGTTTAGAATGTATGTTTAAACACTAGAACCGACTACTAAAGAACAACATAACTAAATCGATTAAAGTAATGAAATTGTGGTTTTTAAATTTTAGGCTTATAAAAAATTGGGGGCGCTGAAAAATAATTGATTTTCAAAGGGGGCGCTAAAAGAAATAAGTTTGATAATCTCTGCTCTAGCGGCTGACAAATGACGCCATATCCATTCGAAAATAGCAAACCTAAAATACCTCCGACTGGTAAAACAGCATCTTTACCAGATTTAAGTTATCAGTAACTGCACTCACCTCTACAATGTGTCATTAGACACATTTAAAAAAAGTCTATATCCAGTAGTTGATTCAAAAGGTTTATTAGGCTGCTGGAGTTGATTAAATAGTTATATTAGGTAGTAGGTAGATGATAGTATGTATTGACATTTTCATTTCCACTCAACACCAATTAAGTATCAATGTTTTGTTCGATACAACTAGCAAGTAATTATCTAGCCTACTAAACCCAAATCATACTAGTAACACAAAAAATTTAACTATAAATGAAATTACTTCTTAACTATGGAAATGTATATGGTTTTTATTGCTAAGCTAAGCAGTATAAATCAACTCTCTACTAGATGAAATATGACTTGATAACGCATACAATAAATACATGGGGACCTATTTTTAGTAATAGACTTAGAATGGACTGTGATAACAATGATGATAAGTTGTAAAAGATTACTTTACTTACTTTTTCGTATAAACTATTTTCAAAAGTGACATCATTAACATTGGTATTACTTTTAGATATTTGGTCAGTCAGATAGTTGGTTGAATCCTTATAAATATCTTCTATCTTTGTATGCTCACAACTATTTGGAAATATTGTATCAGATTCATAGGTTTTTAATGTGTGATTTTTCAACAGTGTTATATTATTTTCGCTTGTTTCAGAGACTGGATAATTATCCTCTGTCAGATGACAGCAAATTCTACCAAATGTATCATACTCATGGAAATCTCTTTTAACATAATCAGTGATAAAACCATCGTTAAGTTCTTCCTTATAAGTGGAACAGGAGTCATCATTGTAAATTTCGAATATTGTCATTGGAAAACTTTGGCTCTTTTGCTCCCAAAAATGAATATGCTGATAGTCCTTCTCATAGCCATAAAATTGCAATCTACCAAAATCCTTACAATTACAAAATTCTTCTTTTGAACAATAAAGGAAAGGATCACTTTCATGATCTTCTATGGAAATATTTTCTTCATAGATCTTATTTTTTATTTCACCAGAATATGTGGTATACTTCTGTGATTTAACAATTTTGCTCTTTGGATTATTATATGTTTTAATAGGTCTAGATATTAATTTGTAATCAAATTTTTTAGAAAATCCACCTGGTTTTTCAACACCTTGTATGCATAATTTAGATTTCAAATAACGCTTTGATCCAATTTTTTTCTTATCAGGTAAAAGACACTGGCTCAGGTAACTTGCTATTTCTTTTACCTTATCTACAGCAATTTGGGAACCATGATGATCCTGTATTGAAACTTTGTGTGATTCTAAGCTACTGTTTTTTGGATCTTTTTCACTCATTCTCCTTTCTGAAAAATTATTATTTTTTTCTATATATTTTCCACATTTGTCATTCAGTATAACTTTTTTAACTTCTACTTGAATATTTTCCCCTACTTTAGGATTTCCTTCTTCAATTTTTACAAATTCAGTTGCTGTAGGTCTCTTTTCTGTATATGATGAAGATTCAGAAATAGCCAGTTCAGTTTTTGAAGAATTATCAATTGTCTTTAGTTCAGTTACCATGAGATCATCTGGACAACAGAATGATTTTACATCATCTTTTTCTAATGACTTTTTAATTTCTAATTCAGTGTTTTTAACCAATTCAATTTCATTATTGATAATTTCATTTTCACTTGTGAGAAAGACAGTACTACTCAGGCTCGAGTGACTATTATGTAATTTGTTTGTATTATCTTTATTTTTATCAATATTTAAAATGTTTGTGTTTTCTAAATCTGCTGTAATTAAATTATTTACATTGCATGTTAATAAATTATTACATTTTTCCAAATCCACATTAACAGAAACACAATCAAAACCATTGGTACGTAATGTTTCAGTATTCTTAACTTTGTTGTTTAAGTATATGTCATCATGGTGATGCAATCTTTTGGTACACAGCTCTGGTTTTCCATTTGGAATATCAGTATTATTTTTTTTGCCTTCTGGTTTAAGCTTTGTATCTTCTTTAGACATTTCTTTAATCTCTGTATCTTTATCAATTTTTGTCTTTATATTAATACTATCACTAGAATTATCGAAACTATTGAAAGATGATATTTTACCACACTGAGAAAAATTATTTATTTGACTTTTAGTAATAGGAGCATGTATTGTAGACGAAATTAGAGAAAATTTTGATTTATCAAGTTTTAATTTGTTAAATTTTTCGACATCAATAATCTCTTGAGATATTATATTGATTTTGTTTTTAGATTCAGTGTTTTTAGGAATAGAAGATAAATCTGAAGTTTCATGAGGAAGCTTGCCACTTTCTAAAACTTCACTGTTCCTTTTGATAGAAATGCTGCTAATGCTTTTATCATTCTGGATGGTATTGTCATATTGTGTCTCATCCCAATGTGGAAAGTTTCTTTTAATTTTATTTAAATCAGTAATATCATCAGATTTATAAGTGTCTGAATTTTTTACAACACAGTTAGTAGACTTATATTCTTGAACAGTATTTTCGATACTTTTATTTTCTTGGTGTACATCTAAATTGGTTGGTAGAAAAGATGGACTTAACAAAACAGATTTTTTCATTAATTTTGCTGTTTCTGTAATTGATGTTTCTTTCTCTTGCGCTGTATTTGAATAAGTAGTGTTGAAGACTTCATTATCTGCAAAATATTGTGTATAGTTTGTTATTTTTTTTTTGTAACTCTTTTTAGGAGTAAGAATAACAATAAAAATAATGTAGAAAAGTATTATATTTTATTATAATCGCCGTATCGTGGCGCCGTAAGAGAATCCACTACCCCATATCATCTCATGGATATTATAACAGGCAACAGAGGCAGCAGCATCTTCCTGATAACTTCTCAAAATAATAAGGAAAATGTGTTTGCCAGCCTGCCTGCATGTGTGGCAACTATGGCAAAATCTTCCCTATGAAGCAATTTATGTGGGAGACTAATGTTCTGTGGTGGACTTTGATAAGCTGTAATGATGATCTCTACTTAATCAGAAATATTTTACTGCTCTAAAAATATTTTAATGATGCATCATGGATTTTTTTATGATAATACAGTGGTAGATAAAAACAAAAGATTATTGATTCATAATAGTTTACATTATAAATCAACCAATTAAATGTATACCTTTAATCACAGAACATTCTTGAGAATTACGAATATTTCCCAAATGAATTCCTAATTGCTGCAGAAGATTTGGTGGTAAAACAAGTATCTCAGAATTGTTGCTCTCTGCTTTAGAATTTTTACTGTTATCTGAGCATTTAAATTTTTTATTCTTCTTTGAATTCATCCTGATCATAGATTAAAGATTATAATATATATAATAGGTATTTGAATACATAATACTCTTTAACAGCAAACTGAAAATATAAAAAAAAACATTTAAATAAAGAGAAATATTCACTAGACTAAAAGCATAATGCAAACAGCTACAATATAAATTGCGTAAATGAAATTTTAGTACATTAAAAGCAAGTTTGTGATAAAATTATAGATGTTGATAAATTGATATTAATTATGTACCTCGTTTTTTTTTTAGTTTATTTATCAGATCAAAAGAAGAGAATACATGTATAGGTGTAATTAAATATTTTCCTAAAATTAATGTAGTAAATTAAAAATTTATAAATATTTGCATTAATTTAAGAAGAAAATTATTTAAAAAAAAATACATTCAAAAATAATTATGAGTACGTGATACGAACCTTAGTCTAAATAAGTTACAATTGGCACGTGGTACCAAAAAAGCTAAACAAACTTTTCACACGCTTGTGAAATATCAAATATGTACTGCAATTTAGGAAACATAAAATAAAAAATATATATTATTATTGAACGAGGAAAGGAAAACTAAGAAATACATTTGAAATACGAAACAACATATGTTGTAGGGATTGTACTTACAACTTATTTCTGTAGAACTTTTTCAAGCGAAAACACAATAATCCAAAAACTATCAACCTGTACAATACTAAAAATTAAATTCTAAATTGTCAAGAGCACATAAACGATTTCATCCACACCATTAAACTATAGCAGTTAGCAGTAAGAACATAAAACGCAGCAAATATTAGGTTATGATTGATGTATGTAGCTTTATTATTTTTTTCCTATTCCTAACTTTATTTTTCTTTTATCCCAAAGGGGAAAGGCAAAGGGTAACGAATTCTTACAGCCTAGTTTTTATTTTTTCTTTTCCCTAATCCTCTCATAGGTAAAGATCTTCCAATGTCATCATTTTATTTCATACTAGCGATCCGCCCCGGCTTTGCACGGGTGATGTCAGGATCCCGACAACAGCGTCACGTACTATATTGTTACTCTAAACCATTCAGGGACCCAAACAAACACACACAAGAAATTTCATCAAAATCAGTGGAGTCATTTTCGAGTTTTAGCGAGGGTAACGGACAGCAATTGATTTTTATATATAAAGATAATACAATGTAGCTTTTCAGTAAATGTAGTAACTCAAGTAAATAAGATTCCATCTTACTGAGTACCCAACGCTGCTAATCGATCCACGATCCGTGATCCACTCCGGATTCGTACAGATGGTTTCTGGACCTCGACAACAGTGTTACCTACGGCGGAGCGAGACCTAAATTTGATGTGGGCAAAATGAATTTTGCATGGCCCCTGGCAACTTATTATTTTTAATAATTGTATTTGGTATCCATTACAACACATCATCATCAAGTCCACCGCAGAAAGTAGGCAAAATAAATTTCGCATGGCCTCTGGCGACTTATTATTTTTAATAATTGTATTTGGCTTTCCATTACAACACGTCATCATCAAGTCCACCGCAGAAAGTAGGCAAAATGATTTTGGCATGGCCCCTGGCGACTTATTATTTTTAATAATTATATTTGGCTTTCCATTACAACACATCATCATTAAGTCCACCGCAGAACTTAAGCCTCCCAACGACTGACTTGAGCTTGGCGGCCATAACCATGACCATGACCAATTAACATTCTACATGTTTTACGTAGTCGTTTGGTCTCTATTATGGAGTATAGAGTACAAGGAGGACCATCTTCTTATATGAAAAGTGTCCCTAAAAACGCGTCCAATAAGGGTGGCGCTGCAGTAGCATAGGATAAATTAAAAAAAAGCGCCAAAATTAATTAGAATAAGATGGAGAAATAAACAAGGACCGACCAATCCGCTTGGTTTTGTACTACGTAAATGGTTGAAGTTTTGTATACTGGCATTTTACTAACTACTCTAGTCATGAAATTTTTCAAATATTTGAATTCAGCTGACTTCACTCCGTCTAGAACAGCTATATTCACATCGTAGTTTTTCAGACGCCAGCGCTATTGTCACATGAGTAAAGAAACCGACCAGAGGGGAAGCTACATACAAACGACTCGCTTCGGGTACACCCACAGATAGCGCAGCGATGTGTGCGTGAGCTCTCACCAACAGGTTCACCGACGCTCCGTCAGGGTACAAACCGGTTTGCGTCGGCTCAGTCAGAGTGTGAATGAAAGGGCTGTTGGTCACGCGAATTGAAATAAATAGACGAATAATATTTCGTGATTTTATAGATCAATAAATCTATAATTTTTTTTTACAATTAGAGTTAAGTTTAGAGATTGTGTACTATAAAATAAGACATTATAGATTTATAAGTATATATTTATATTAGATAATTATTGTTCGTATAAGCTAAATGCCTAAGTTGTACAGTATGTATGAAAAATTCGAGAGAAAATAATACAATAGCCAGACAGTGGTGCAGTTAGTGTTAGTGGTAGTAGTGCTGGTGATGGTGATGGTGGACGGTGGTGCTGATCGTGTGGTGTTGGTAGCGGTGGATGGTGGTGCTGCACGTGCTGGTAATGGTGTCTGTGATTGTGGTGGTGCTGGTAGTATCATTGGTGGTGGTGGTGGACAGTGGATCACCACTGGCACTACCACCGTTCATCTAGTTGGATAGAGTGACACTCTTAAATTTTTCGACATTAATTTCTTCGTGGTACTATTTTGCACTTTTTGATTCAAATGCCAACAAACAATTTTTTATAAAAACTTCCCCGGCAGATCCAGCATGACAAATAATGAGGCGTCCACCATTTTCCGTTGGAACTTTTGAGCTGGTTGCTTGCGTGTCATCCGTCCAAGACTGTGACACAGTATGGTTAGCATTTAACCATGTCTCATCAATAAATATTACCTTGTACCTTGTTGGTTACTTTATTAACTTCTCTTAAGAAGGATATTCTTTGTAATATTATGTCATACCTTTCTATCAATATTTTCCGTTTGTCGGTTTTTTTGTATGAAAACTCAATATATTTTAGAATTGTTTTAATAGATGTTACACTGCCATCATATACGTTTGCAGATTTAAGGGACACAAGTAATTTACTTTCCGTTTGTCGGTTTTTTTGTATGAAAACTCAATATATTTTAGAATTGTTTTAATAGATGTTACACTGCCATCATATACGTTCGCAGATTTAAGGGACACAAGTAATTTACTTACGGTGGAGTATTCTTGTCTTGTGTAGTAGCCGTAAACATGGGATCTAATAGCATCAGCTTCAAAATTATCGATACTGTTACAGGTTTTTTTTTTCGCTTTTGGGTGTGTGCAGTACATTATCTTTACAGCCAGAAAGTTCGTACTTTTCCTTATAATATTTCGGACAGTTTTTATCCCAATTCCAAGCGCTTTTGTGCGACTTGTTCTTGTACTTGGGTAAATTCTATTTGCTGACTCTCGTTCAAAGTACTCGTGCAACTTCAAAACCACTGGACTGGCTGTTAAGAGTACGTCCTTTTTTATACATGTTGTCTAGTTCACACGACAACACCAAAATCAGGTAATGCGTAATCAACGTCCGGAATTAGCAAGCAAAGGTCAACGAATATAGCAGAACCAGTCCAAGAGTGATAGCCGAGTCAGAAAATATAATAATAACCAATAACACAAAAACTTCCAAGATAGCGAGAGACCGCGCGAAGCATTCACGAATCAATGACAATAGTGTTTAAAATTCATTTTTTCAAAATCAAATTATGGACTCCGGCCTTTTTAGCAAAACTATTTCCTATATTAACATATTAAACATCAAAATAAAGCTAGAAATATATGTGGTCAGATTTTGTTTTTATATGTTTAAAGATTAAATAATACGTTTCTCTCTTTTCTAAATGAAAAGTATCGATTTTTCAGAACATCGATTTTATTTTTTCAAAAAACGGTTTATAACAGTTCTAACAACACTACGGCAACGAACCCAAATACATAACAGACATGTCATTGTAACAACGTCATGTCGAAATATTAATCAACGATTAATTCGTGTTTTTGAGTACATTTTTCCAATATAAAGCGAAACTTGGTGCTTACGAATGATACTCCTTGTTATACTGTATGGATAACATAGTAATTATTTAGGATTATGAATTTGATTTTTAGATATCTTACGTAGACGTTCATGCAAAGTTATCACGGCATGTGTAATGAAAAACGTCAAATCGGGCTTTTTAGATTGTCGCGAGTATAGCGGGGGCAAAGTCTATGAGCGGGGGTCACCTCGTTCCGCTTACCAGGAGGCTGCAAGAAAACCTTTCTTCTGCATGGGTTGTCGGTTCTAGGAACTATGGACGGCCCATTGCGCATTCTTTATTGTGATACATTAAAGGATATCGGTAACTCTGGTTCTGCTGCGGAGATCTTTGATACGGAATTTATTACCCAAAGTAACTCCGAGCATAGCCCTCTACATACCTTGCAGAACGACTCTAAAAGGTTTATCATGTGTTCAAAAATAAAGGACCATGTCTCGGTTCCATAGGTCATCGCTAGCAACACGCACTGGTTATACACTCGTTGTGAGAATTTAAGGTTTATTGGACTTTTGACTTTTGAAAAGGTAAAATTTAAATAGCTCCTGTAGGACAGTAAGTACCGATGTCTACTCACTTGCAAAAGCTTTGTTGTAATTCTATTCTCCCTAGGTACCTTGACGTTTTAAAGATGCTCGGGAGTCACTTTAACTCTGGATTGACGTCCGGGACAATATGAGGATAGTGTCAAACGAGATTTGCACTATTTAATCTCACTTGTAGTAGTATCTTGTCGCTGATGTTATTGGTTTTCAAGTTAGTCAACAACCAGTTCTAATTTATTTAACCTAGGTTGATTAATAAGTTTTTGGAATAGGATACTAATTATCAATGAGTTATAGAAATGCGTTCTATTTTTTTCCAATCTTAAATTCGTTGGTAGCCAAGACCAAAAAAAAATTAAATTACAAACTATATCCA